GCCTAATGTTTCTGAGCTAGGGGAGGCAAGGAGGAGGGGGGTGGTTATATTTCCTGGTCCAGGAGGGCTCAGTAAAGCAGCCAGGTAAGGAGGATGGCAACATTTTTTAAGAAGTGAAAGTGGATAAGGGTTGAAATAACTAAAAGATTCCAGGGACGACCATTGATTTGTATGCTTTGGCAAAACTCCATCTACCTTAGCAAAGAGTGAATGCTTCTTTAAGCCTGGCCCTGTAGGCAGGAGTCCTGGATTGTATTGCTGTCTTATATCAGAAGTCCTCAGCCCGTGTGTAAAGGAAGGCTCTTGGTAGTCCGCAGGCATAACCTGCTATCCCAACCACTCAAGGACATGTGTGGTGGGCATCCTGCAAGGTCCCACTTGTTACCAGGCAGTTCTCCAGTATACTAGTCCAATGAGAGGTGGGTGGAAGAGTTTAAGTGACTAATTGAGAAAGCTTGGAATTAACACTAAGGCCTACTGGAAGTCACAGTCCTTTAAGTCTTGTTCCTCAGATTTACTTTGAAATTGGAAATGCAGGTAATCTCAGTAATTGTTGAGATAAAGCATAAAGATGAATATACTAACACTCAAAATCAAAACAAAAAGAAACCTAATTGTAATCCCACACACCTCAAAGGTAAAAACAAAAAAAAAAAAAAATCAAGTCCCAGGAGTTAACTGGAAAAGATCTTGGAGATCATTTTGTATATACTCTCTAATTAGAGGTCAGATAGGATAGGTTGGCTCATTTTCCCAAGGTCACACAAAACTAGTACCAGAACCAAATCCTGAACTCAGATATTTGGCACTTGTCACTTTTTGATTCTTCATTATATTATTGGCTATAGCTGGTACCCAGTAATACCAGTAACCAATTTGTATCCTTCCAATATCTTAATATGAAAGTGAGACAACAGCCCTGAATGTTTCAGAGATGAAGTGATAATATTCCCTCATGTAGTAAGGACACATGAATGTAGTAGTGACATGTACTCCCACAGATGTAAGCCTGCTCAGAAGCACCAGGCTGGGCACTAGACTGTTGATTGTGGCCGGGACAGGAAGTCACTCAGCCCACAAGTGCACTGTCCTACCTTTGTTCTTCCCACTAGCTACATCTCCTCTATGGCAGTACAGTAGGAATTAGGCTGATTGCCATAAAGATTCACTCATGATAATGATCTATATATTCCGAGTCCCTCACTGTGCATGTGGCACTATGCTAAGCACTCCATTTTTCCTGTGAGACCACCTAGACCCTGTCAGGAAGATGGTGCCCTTGTAGTTTGAGAATACAAGACCACACAGGTATGGGTGAATGAATCCAGAAGTAATGATTAAGACCCTTGGATATGTTCTAGTTATGAAAAGCACTATAGTAAGTGGAGAGAAAAAGGGAAAACAATGAAAAAAAAAAAAAAAACCTTTGCTACCTGGAAATCAGAATAGAAGAAATACTGAAGTTTATGGTAGATGTCATAAAAGCAGCACTGACACACACACACACACACACACCGCCGAAGAGTCAAAGCTCCTGAGGATCTTGAGGGCAGTGTTCCTCTAAATGCCATCAGTACACCACTTGGGATCACCCAGGCTCACCTGGGAGGTTTGTTCAAAATTCAGATTCTTAGGCCCCATCCTAGAATTGGTAAATCTGAATATGAGGGTGAGAGCCCAGGAATTTACATTTTAACCAGTACTCCTCCCCCACAGATACACACGCATACCCCCCCCCTCCAGATGTGATTCTGAAATGTATTACTTGTAAGACCACTGCTTTAACGGATGGCTCAGTTTGGATAAACAATGATGACAACTTTCTTAACAGAGCAACAATGGGAGCAAAGAGATGGAAAAAGCATGGGTTGTTTGGAAGGGGCAGTAAGGGGAAATAAGCATATTTAGAATTAAGAGGCTGTTTTGGAGAGCAATGCAGAATAGGGCCACAGAAGGGTATTAAGACCAAGTTTAGAGAGGACTTTAGAAATCAGTGGAGTTTCAGTTTAATGTGAAAATAATGGCAAGTATTCAGGAGCAAGAAAGTAGCCTGATGAAAAACATGATTTAAGGAAAATTAACCTGTGACCTGATAAACTCTAATTTTACAAATTTACTTTAGCAGTTTTAAAAAATATTTTCTTAACATTCCATAAATTTGTTTTTCTTATTTTGTCTTTTGGCTTCTGGAATATCTTAAAGGAAAAGAAAATACTACATTCTTAAATATCCTTAAAGAATCTGAAATTTTCCTCAACATGAGGTATAAAAGTCAAAGACTATGTAGTTTGAAGGCAAAGAGTTAAGAATAGTTATATCCTACTGCCTGTCTTCAGGGTTCAGGGTACAAATCCACTTCTTTTTCTGCCTGTGATTCTCATCCATTGTCAGTGGAAGTATAAATTGGTGTGACCTCCACAGAGGATTATATGACAGTAGCTATCAAAATTTTAAATGTATATTCCCTCTGATTCAGCAATTCTACTTCTACAAAGATGTGTTCACATATCTACAGAGGTCATAAGAGTACAATGTCACCCAAGGTCTGAATTGATAAAATACTAGAAACTTAGATAATTTATCAGTATCTGATTATATTAAAGTAAAGTATGTGGGCAATGGAATATTACATAGCCATTAAAAAGGTTATTGGATTTATGTTTTATGTGTTGATGTGCAAATATCTCTAAGATATATTTTCAGTGAAAACAAGACTCGGAGCAGAGGTATACTATATATACTACAGTATGCATGAATTTTTATCTTTTTTTTCTTTTATATTTATACAAAAGGTAGAAGTGGAATATAAAAAGGTCTAAGGTTAGAGGAAAACCTTCATTTTGCCTTTTAATATTTTGTACTATTTAAGCTTTGACAAAAGTCTATCACTGTATATCTACCTTTTTAAATGAACTAAAATGTGTGGTACCATTGAAAGCCTGCCTGTAAGGTATTCCCACATAAGAAATCCAAAAGATATTATGTGCACAAGTGTGTGATCACAGTAAATTCACCTTTAAAACATGTTAGAATGGGGCACCTGGGCAGCTCAGCGGTTGAGCGTCTGCCTTTGGCTCAGGTCAGGATCCCAGGGTCCTGGGATCGAGTCCCACATCAGGCTCCCCGGAGGGAGCCTGCTTCTCCCTCTGCCTGTGTCTCTACCTCTCATGAATAAATAAATAAAATCATTTAAAAAATAAAATAAAGCATGTTAGAATTATGTTCCCCATCTGTTACTTTCAATGTGCATTCTCAGAGTGTTTTTTTTTTAAGATTTTATTTATTTATTCATGAAAGACACACACACAGAGAGAGAGAGAGAGCAGAGACACAGGCAGAGGGAGAAGCAGGCTCCATGAAGGGGAACCTGACATGTGACTTGATCCTGGGTCTCCAGTATCACGCCCTGGGCTGAAGGTGGTGCTAAACCACTGAGCCACCCGGGCTGCCCTCTCAGAGTGTTTTTATTTATTCACTCATTCAGCAAATATTTATTGGACACACACCATGTGCTTTTACTAAAGTAAATTTTCAACTTGGACCTGAGAATTTCTTTAGAGCCTTGGGCGTTTAAACTTGGAAGAAATCTTGAAAATCAATTTCCACATCTTTTGGAAAACAAGAGAAAACTAAAATTCAAATGAATATGTCTTAAGATCTCACCGCCCATTAGTAGCAGAACTGGGAGAACCCAGTTGTCTCTGCTACCACCCTGAGTGATGTCATAAGACAAACCCATCTTGAATTGTTCTTGCCTTTTCACACAAAGTCAATTCAGATTGCTTTCAGTAGATTTGTCTCCTCAAATGAACAGCTTTGGAAATATTTAATGGTAGCAGAAATGCAGAATCTTTAATAGTAAACATTTAGAGGAAACAAATGTTCTGAATTTTAATTTTTTTCTCTTAAGAAGTAACATTTTAACTTACATCCCATGTATTATTCTCAAGGTTTATGCCCTAAATTTTGTTTGGACCCTTTTACCAACAGTATTATTAATAGCTCATATTAAAGACCTCTTCAGTTATCACAGATCAAGGAAGCATTATACTAAAAAAAAAAAGTTTTGTGGGGTATGTATTCCGCTAAAATGAGGAAGGACCATGTATATATAAAGGAGAAAAGAAACACTCCATCACTGAACAATATTTTCTGCATTGTGCATTTTCATTCAGCCTGTGATATTAATAGATTTATCTAATCAGAATGTGAGCAAGAGCTGCTTATTTAGTCTCACATCACTTAGCTTACTCAATGTGATAAATCTGTAAGGCATTTAATATACCTTTTATCAGCTATCAATTTTGGGATTTTCTCCTCAATTCTTTTAATACTTTCAGAGAACCAGTGCTGCGTTGAAACAACTATAGTCACAGGCTTTTGATGTGAAGGATATCACATTTTTTAAGAGGAGAGAGAGAGATGAATGGTACGGTACTATTGGTTATAAGAGCATCATATCAGTAATCAGAATTGAGACCAGAGCATGTGATGTATGCATTATTCTGTTGTACTAACCTACCAAATTAGAGGACTGTAGGGATTCCCAAAGAGTAGAATTTAGTGTATCTTCTTTGACCTCATTGTTATCAGATTAAATTATGCTAGAAATTAACAGTGCTACTTTTTTTCCTCAAAATTTAAGGAAAGCAAAGGTCAGGTTTGATAAATACAGAACCCAAGAACCCATATTTGTTCAATGTGGGCCATTCATATACAGTCCTACCTATAAAACTTATTTGTTTTTCTGATTTTCAAGAGAGAGAGTATGTGTATATGCAAGCAGGGTGGAGATGGGCTGAGGGAGAAAGAGAAACTTAAGCAGGCTCCAAGCCCAGGGCAGAGCCCAGCAGGGGGGCTCCATCTCACAACCCTGAGATTATCCCTGAGCCAAAATCAGGAGTCTGACATTTAACTGACTGAGCCAACCAGGCTCCCCAATACCTGTTCGAGTTCTAAACCTGCTTGTGTTTGATTTCCATTGTTTTTTCTTCCTGAAGCTGCGAGAGAAATAATCTGGTTAGAAAGGGAAGAGCGAGCCCGGCAGCACTATGAAAAGCACTTAGAAGAACGAAAGAAGAAACTAGAAGAACAGAGGCTGAAGGAGGAGCGGAGGAGGGCTGCTGTGGAGGAAAAGCGGAGGCAGAGGCTGGAGGAAGACAAAGTAAGAGGCTGCCATGGGCAGCAAATGGGAGGTCTATTTCAGAAATTCGAAACCTTCCTTTAAGGTGCTGGTATGCATAGCAACATTAAGTAATCAGTTTTATAGATAGTCACAGCTTCTAGGGAGGTTGGGGTACGGAAGGCAGGTAGTGAATGGTGTAATTGTTACCATTATTTTCGCAAAAACTTTAAAAGCCCGGGCGTTTGGTCTAGAGCCATAACTTACCCCTGTGCAGTTCATCTATGCGAAAATATGGAGAGGACTCCAAGGAATTGGATTTCTCTAGGGCTTTACTGTTTACATTTTCACATAGATTATCTCATTTAATCTTTACTCAACCCTTGAGTGTTGATATATCAGTTTTTGCAAAAATGAACATGCAGACTCAGAATGAGTAAGTCGTGGAGTCAGGATTACCCACCTGCTCAGATTCTGAACTGCATTTTTTTTTTTAAGATATGGTACCACATTTGTTTAGCATCTGCTTAAGCTAAGACCTGTATCACCATGCTTACATGAATTGATGAAAGCACCACACTCCTGGTAGCCGCAACAAGGGTTGTTTATTTAAGTACCTGTCGTTTGCCAAGAGCTTTACCAACTGGGACCTGATGATTTCAGTATCTCTCGCAGGTTGATATTACTCCTACCCTAAGAGAAGGTATAAAAGTTAGGAAGTAGGAATACTAAGGTAGAAATTCCAGTAGTGCCTTTACTCCATTCTGCCTTAAATTGAAGAAGCCTCAAACAACCAGATCGAATCTCATCATCCACTCCTCTCTTCCATTGAAGGAACGCCATGAAGCTGTTGTAAGACGAACAATGGAAAGGAGCCAGAAGCCAAAACAGAAGCAAAACCGGTGGTCATGGGGAGGCCCTCTCCATGGGAGCCCTAGCATCCGCAGTGCAGGTAACAAATGGTGTGGCTTTCAGAATCCCTGCCTTCTTCCTGGACCGCAAAAGGGCAGTTGCTTCTTTTTTTCTAAGTCTGTGTTTCCAAAACAAAAATCAAGCTGAAATAATTAAACTATAATTAAATGATGCTCCTACTGTTTGAGGATAAGAGGGTGATGAAGGTAAGAAGATAAAGTTCTCTCCCTTAACACCGGCTGCTTTTCCTTTTTGTTACATAATTCCTTGAAGAGCTAGAAATCTATGCAACATTCCTAAGTAAACATGTGGTTTCCACTCTATGTTATTTTAAGTAATCATTTGCATTAAGATTTCAGGATTACGAAATAAGTTAACTGATTTTTTTTTTCTAGAAGAAACATAGCAGTATTGACTGATCATAACCAATAGTATGAGCTTGTGTATTTGGACCATAAAGCATGTGTAGCATTAATGCTCTGCCCAAAAAAGTGCAGGTTCTGAAACTAGAAACCATGAATGTCTCAGCCATTCCCTCGTTCTTGAATGGACATAAAGTCATACTGAAATTTGGACTTAGGGAAAGGCTTTATTTTTGTACTGTACTGTAAATTTTTTTTGTATTTATTTTTGTACTGTAAATTCAATACACCTCGAATTTTATATAATGTGTCAGTTCTTTTACATCTGTGTGAGTCTAATGACATTTTTATTATTATTATTATTATTATTATTATTATTATTATTTACTTTGAAAAATCATTGTCTTACATTCTGTCCCCAGGTGGTTTTGTTGAATCATCATTCACCTTTCTCGATTTAGCAGGCCTGGACCACCACTTCACAACTCTTGGTGGTACTAGAAAATCTGGTACAGACATCCCTATGGTTGCTGATTGCCTGACCTATAGCTAGCACCTCCGACCTAGGAACAACAGTTCATCAATAGCTGAACCATCACTACCTTAGTCATAATGCATGCTTAATACGCTATTGCATAGACCTAGATCTGGGATATGGCACAGTGTTTCTTAAGTGTGATGATAGAACTCTGGTGACTTGAAGGTGTTGAAATAACGTAATGACATATTATGTGTTTACTTTCTCTTTAAGAGATCATTTTGGGGGGAAAAAAAACCTTTAAGAAGTGTTTTTTAGTTAATAAATTACCTGGGATCAAAGTACATCCAGTTTGTGCTCTCACCTCACCAACATCCCCATCCCCACTGGTCAGTACTGCTGTTTCTGCTCTTAGTTTTAATCTAAATAACCATGAATTTTTGTTTGCTCTGTTCTTCCATTCCTAACATTCAGTGTATCCAATAGAACCCCTTTATTTTAAAAATTCTAAAAGTACATTACCACAACTTACTTTCCTATGATGTTGAACTATATTTGAAAACACTTTTTTTCCCCCTTGGCTTTTAATGACCCAGTGGTACTTTGTAGGGCACATGTCAAATCTGTACTCCTAAAGCTCATTTATGTGTGATATTTTATTCTAAGGGCAGTTTTATGTATATATTCTATATAAGAATATATATTTTTATAACCTTATTTTTCTTTTACTTGGCTTCATCTTTTACTTGTGTATGGCAGAAGTATACTCCATTAGAAGTTTTCAAATATTTTTGAGGGGAAATACAGTTGTTTAGTTTTAATTCTTGGTTCAACACTCAGCATTCAGTATATGATCTTTATTTCTGCCACTTGGAGCAAGAGAAACTCATGCTGTATTTGTTAGCACTTGGATAATATCTATTTTTATTATAAGGGCTCTGAATTAGAGAAAATTGCTACTAAACTAGAATTCAGAAGTTTGAAAAGAAAAAAGTTTGAAAAGAACTGGAATTTGCCAAAATTCTCAAAGGTTGCAGTGATCTGCCGTGATCTTAAGAACAGTAACCTGGTCTTACTCCTTTATAGCAATTACTCACTCAGAATGGGCAACCCAGTCAGTGTTTGCTGATCAAAAAACAGATCTTAGGGGATGCCTGGGTGGCTCAGCAGTTTAGCACCTGCCTTCAGCCCAAGGTGTGATCCTGGAGTCCCGGGATTGAGTCCCACATCAGGCTTCTTGCATGGAGCCTGCTTCTCTCTCTGCCCCCGTACCGCCCCCTCTGTCTGTCTCTCATGAATAAATAAAATCTTTAAAAAGAAAAAAAAGGGGGGGCGGATCTCTGGGTGGCTCAGCGGTTTAGCGCCTGCCTTTGGCCCAGTGCGTGATCCTGGAGCCCCGGGATCGAGTCCCACATCAGGCTCCCTGCATGGAGCCTGCTTCTCCCTCTGCCTGTGTCTCTGCCTCTCTCTCTCTCTCTCTCTCTCTCTATCATGAATGAATGAATAAATAAATAAATAAATAAATAAATAAATAAATAAATAATCTTTAAAAAAAAAAAGAAAAAAATCTTAGAAATTAAATTTAATCCAGATTAAATCTTTGTGTTGCCTTACGGCTCACTCATCAACTTGTACTGGTTTGTGAATTTTTTAAACTGATTCTTTCAGAATCCTTTCTGAATTTGTATTTTGTTGAGTGAGAAAAAGAAATGATTAAAAATTATCTTATTAAGTAATATAATAAGGATGCATTATACCTCTATAATTTTCACCAGGCAGAGTAGGCCTGCAGGCAGACACAATGTCCCCTGACTAAAGCTTAACATATAAAAACAGTATCAGAAAATGTATTGCTGTCAGTCACCCAGAAATGACTTTTGTTACCCTTCCTTGTGTCCCTGGGCCTTACATTTCATCATTAAGATCTTCCTTTTGATATATTATCCTTAATCTTCAGAATTGCTCCAAGGGCCTATCAGTTAAGTGTTAATTTACGTCACAGGCGTGATGTCTGTGTTTGTTTGTTTTCTAATTGAGTTGCTTCAACCATACAAATACATCCTCGTAGAGATAGGAATGTCTGATGTTGGTAGAAAACTTGTTTATCCCCATACACTATAAATAATGGCCAAAAATGGTTATTCTGTGGAGGGAAGTTTACTGTAAAATGTTGACTACCAGTGTTACTTAGACATTGATAGACCAATGATAGAACTGGGTTTTAAAGGCATATACCATGAGGAATACTTTTTGTTTTTAGTTTTAGAAGAAGCTAACAATGGTAAACAAAATATGGCAAAGCCCTTTTAACTTTGGCAGTCATCGTCAAAACAATCTGTTTTCCCTTCCTGAATAAATATAATGAGATTTTTTTAGACTTTTACTCTATTTAGACTTTTATTTGGGGAACATGATCTGTTCTAGTGAGGATGGCTACCACCTGGTTCCACCATAAAGACAGCAGATGAACAGAGCTGATTTTTGCCTTTTGATCTCACAGAAATTTAAGAATTACTCTAAAATTACTCACCTACAGGATCAACAGTTTGATTAGTAAGCTTGAAGAATTCTGATTTTCTTTATATTGCCATCAGTTTTGTTGGGCAAATTTGTGGACTGATTCTACATTTGTAAACCACCCTAAAATCAGTGTTATAGGCACAGAGGTATGGTTACTTGTAGACTTTAAGAAGAAATGCTACATCATTCCAAACCTAGAGTGTTTCTTCTTCTTTCTTTTTAATCTATTTTTCTATAGTGAACTTTAATGGCCTAGGTAAAGTGACTGGCTCTACAAGAAAAGGTAGCAGCAAATGCATAGAACCTGATGTTCTTTTTTTTCTTTTTTTTTTTTTTTCTCCTACTGTTTGCATTCTATTTCACCAGCCCTATTACTACTCCCTTGTTCCTATTTGGGGAAATTCTAAGGGCATCCACTTTTACAAACCTCTCTTTGCTGTACAGTCAGCCCCATTATTGTATTTGCCCTCCAGTGATCTGCCTTTGGTCCTTGTCTGTCTGTTGTATTATTGTAACAATATGCTTGAACCTCCCTGGCTGACAAACTGGTGTGCTTAATATTTATTTTATCCTATGAGAAAAATGAATTTTATTTCTAACCTTTAAGTTACCTTTAAGATATCCATTTAGAAAACTGTGCTATTATGTAAGATCTAGTAATAGAGCTGAAAGCATCCAATTCTAGTTTTTCCTTCCATCAGTGAACTAGGAAATTGCAATCCTGCATGCCGGCTGTCAATTAGCATTATCTCCATTTGTTTTAGATCCAGACAGGCGGTCAGTTTCCACCATGAATCTTTCGAAACATGTTGATCCCGTCATTAGCAAGCGGCTCTCCTCTTCATCTGCAACTTTACTAAATTCTCCAGATAGAGGTACAGTCAAAAGGAAAACAACAACAAAAAAAAGTGTTCTGTTATTTACTTAATGCTTTTTTTTTTCTGGATGTTACAGCTAAAAATAAGCATCTGAAGTTGCTTTCCCTACGTTTCTTAAATAGGAAGAACACAACTTCAAAGTAAAAAAGCAGTAAACGGCTGAGCAGCATTTCCCTTGCGACAAGAACCTTGCTCATTTTAGAACTTGGCTGAATGGTTGCATTTAGCCATCATGGAAGCGGTGCTTCTCAACTTTTTAGTAAATGAGTTTACAGTTCCAGAAATCACCCACTTATCCACCAACATTGCAAAAATCTTTGTTGTGAACAATTATTTTCCTTCAATCATGTTGTCCCTGACTTTTCATCTGTACTTGGGGAATGCCAAGCTTTGACTTTCTAAGAAATCTTTTTAAATGATTCATGTTGGTAGATTTCATTTTGCTATTTGATTTCTCATTTAACCAAACCTTGCTTACTTGCATTTCTTGTGTGTGTGTGTGATCGGTTCTTGGTGTCCATTCATTTTACCCTTCAGGGATTTGGCTTAGCTTCAAGAATATCATCACTGAAGTCTCCTACAAGTTTTAATAATCATAGTCCCCAGTTAATGTTTTATTTGAATTTTGAGTTTTATTCATCCCATGGATTTACAGTACATGAATGTTGGGTTATTTATAAAATTAAAGTTTTACTTTATACATCTATATATCATAGAAGGAAAAATCAAGTTTTTAAGATGAGCTACGGTTTTACAGAACTTAAAATGACCTTAAATTAGAAAACCAAAGAATTATTGTGCAATATAAAAACATATATTCTTTAAAAGTAACAAATTGTGGTTATTTTGAATGCTTTACTGGGAAACATTCAGTGTTTATAGTCTTTGTAAAGAATGCAGTGTGTGCATGTTCTGTGTGTATCCATGTATTCTGTATTGTATAAAACTTGTGTTATTGTAATGTACAATATTGTACATGTTGCTGTTATAAAACTAATAACTAATCTCTTAAAGTAGTAAATGTTGAACAACTTCCTGCTCTTGCTTTTTAACCTTAACTATTCCTTTTTTTTTAACTAATATGCCTAAATCATCAATATTAGACATATAGTCAAATTATGTACCTTTTTTCTTTTGGATCTTAGAGAAAAGTATTATGAATTAACATTCCTTTCATAAACAGCCTTTATCTTCAAACCCATTCCTTTAATATGAAATACAGCATATGAGTACCATTCTTAACAGTTGTCTACTCACCTTTTCTTTGGATTTGAGTGCTCGCTTCGGCAGCACATATACTAAAATTCTTTGGATTTGATCCCTTACTCAGCATTTTAGTTTCATACTTTTGTGAACCTATGTCTAAGACAAACTACAATTGTGATTTTATGGTACTTTGAAGTCAATCTTACCAACTACCTCCTTCAGTTCCACAGCTGAAAATGGGGTAGTTGGGCAGTAAACTGAACAATATCCTATCACCCTTCTATGGACAACAGTAATTTGTCAACTAGCAACAGGAATGTTTAATAGATTCTGAATGATCATATCTGATGGAATATTCTTAATAGGATCTTAGAACTGAGAAAGTTTTACTGGATGGCTCATCTGTTCCAGTTGGGGTAACAGAATTCCAGAGATGATGGACAGAGGTGAAAGACCCAAATTCATATGTTACAGATTAATTGTTGGAGAAAGGGTCTAGCACAGAGATCACCAGCAACTAACCGATGTTGTTGATGTGCTGCATCCTCTTACCTTCATGGATGTCCTTCCTTAGATCACCCTGACTGTATGCATTCTTGCTTTGAGTGAGGTTAAGGATTAAGGGAAGTTCAACAGCCAGTTCATAGCCAAATCCAGGAAACTGCCCCTTGAATCGTGTGACCTATCAAATCAAATCCTAAGCTGGACTAATAGAGCAAAGGGAGAGCACTAAACTGGGGAGTTCTGCTTCTCTGCCACCTTGTCAAAAGAATTGTGTGAACTACCAGTTCCTGCCTGGGTCTAAAAGACGAGGTCAGGTTTGGCCAGGAAGGGAAGATTCAGTTCACCCAAGAGCCCCCCATATGGTCCAGGAAGCAATTTTTTTTTCTTTTTTTAAAGTTAGAACTTTCAGTAGGACAGTGAGATGGCTAGGCCTTTTAATGAGACTAGAAATTATTCTGAATTTGAACTTCTGTAATTTATAAATTTAAGTAACTTAGTTCATTTTCTTTTCTGCTAACTTTATTTTTTTCTGCTATTTTTAAAAGTTGGTTATGCTTTATTAAATTAGGAAGCATCCTTATTGAATTTTAAGTTAGAGGCTTTTACTGGCAATGTATTAAAGAATGTACACCATTTACCAGATTGTCTGGGCTTTCTCAGCCCTCTAGCATAGGCCTTAAAGCTGATATTAAATTGAGGCTCTGATGCTATCAAGGTTGACGTTCAGCTGGAATGCTCTCCTGGTTATTAAAAATACTAAAATATTTCCATACCGTTTGGTAAATCCCCACTTTGCTAACATGTGTATCCCCAGGTCCTCCAGCACTAATGCATGACATCCATGAGCTCTCTGCCTGTGCCCTACTTATTTTTAAATATTTTTATTATCAAACTTGAATATAGTGTCACATAGAGTGATAAAATGACCCAAGTTAAAGGAAACCTCTGATTACCAAAGGTTTTTATAATTGCTGCAATGGAGAGAATATTGCCACTGGAAATTTTCACATTAAAAATGTGTTTCTTAATATTCTTAAGCTCCTACTTAACCAGATTTTTCTCAAGGAAGAATAAGGAATTTCAAACAACAACAACAAAAAACAATCAACAACAACAACAAAAAAAACAAACAAGAAATGAAGTTGCCTACTGTTTGCTTAAAATTAGTCCATACATTTTTCCCTAGAATCTAGATCATAGGACATGGTGGTAGACCTAAAGCTGCATTCTGCATTCAGGTTCTTTTTGACCTGAGCAGGGGTTTTTGTTCTTGCTTTAATTTGAATTCACTGCCATCATTCTAAAAATGGAATACCTCACATAATATTTGCATTTCCTACTTATGATGAACTATCGGGATCTGGAAGTACTTGCCTGATTTTTGCATGGCACCCATCTGAAACTGAACAGTGATTTCCTGCTTATGGATGACTGTGGTAGTACAAATATCTATAATGTTTGTTTGCCTCCCCTGGTTCAGATGGTCTATTACAGGAATTTTTAATATCTCATTTTTAAGTGCTTAAGTAGGATCAATACTGTAAGGTGTTTCACAAGAATTAATATCTCTTCCTTCAGAAGCTTATCATCTTAAAATCAGGCCCCTCTAGGTGGGTGAGAGAAAAACAACAAACTAACTCTCCTGTCCTAACCTTTACTAAAATGTTATGTTAAGAAAAAGAGATCTCTCTCTCTGTCTCTCTCTTATTCAGGTCATAGTAATGAACACAGAAGAAGTAGAAACATGTTCCTTCTGTCAAAATCTTTCATTCACAGTGTCAGCTATAAAACAAATCTCTTCAGATTTGCTTCAAACACAAGTCAAAGAGGCAATCTTCATTTGAGGCAAAGTCTTTGGTTGATACTTTCAAGACTCACAGAAATAAAAAGTTAATCAACTTCTTAAGCCAGGGCAGAGAAAGGATATGTCTTCTCAATGACAAACCATCTCTGCAGTTGTGAGCCAGTCATCCTACAGAGTTTGTCAAGGAAATAAAGGGTTCCTTTCTTCTTCCCTTTCTCATCTACTTTAAAAAGTATAGTTCTGTTGAAGATTTTCATTTCATCCTCCTCACTCTTCCCCATTGGTTTTATTGTGTGACTGTATTCTACTTTTAGTGTACATTAAATTCCATTGTTGATGCACACATACACACACTGCCATATTAGAGTGTATAACAGCACTTGTTCTATTGTGCGTTCTACTATACAACTATTACTGTATTATATATGTAATTGTATATATACAACACATACATATATATAATCCCTTTATTTATGTCTGTCAGATAAGATTTCATTTAACTGTGAAGACTCTCCTAATAACAGGAAATCCAATAAATAATTCACTAATTCTTAAATTCACCACAGGCTTGATCAAAATAACCACTTTTTAAAAATGAAGTCAGGTAATTAGGGATACTTACTGGAGGTTGGTAGTTCCTTTCAAAAGGAACAGGTTATTTCCTGCAAAAACATTTAACATCAACTAATTCCTGTTAACTAAAACTAATCTTATAGAATTTCAACGTCATTCCTTTAAAATACAGCATATAAAAGATTATTAGAAGAACAATGGCTCCAGAGGCAAGAATATTTGCACCTGCTGTTTATAGTACAGAGCAGAACTGGGCTTGTCTTGTTTAGACAGTTTTAAAGACTTTTATCAGTGACTTAGCAGTGTGCCCTAAGAGAGAGATGTATGATTACTTTAGTGATATTTGTAGGATCTTGCAAGCTTCTTTCCTGATATTTTTGGACAGTAGCTTCTGTATTTTCATGGAAATACAGAATACCACCACTGGAAGCTAACAATATAAGCAAAGTCATTAATTTCTAATTTATAATTTATGGTGGTCTTGCCACCAAGCCCCAGTACAGTTTGGAACTATATTCACTGTATTATCCTAAATCTATTTCCTGAAATCTTCATGCACTCACTAGTAATTTCTAACTTTAGGTTTAGATTGGATTTTGGTTTTTCTGTTTAATTTCCTCTTGCTTCAGCTTTACCCTTATATTCCACCAGATTTGTTTACATTGTTGCCAAAACAGGCTTGAGAGAACCTGGCTTACTGAATGGGAAAGTCAAAAGGAAATCAGACAGAACTTTGCATGAGTCCTCTTTCCTTTTATTATATCTAATTTCCCCCAATTGACGAAGTAGCAGTTCATGAACATCTGGCAAAATGTAATAGAGACCCTTTCAGTCTTTGTTTATATAGACATGCAGTCCTGCATTAAGCTGCCATAGCCTGTATTGGAGTTGAGTATTCAGGGTACTTAGGAAGCCCTTTGGCCGAGGTGTGTGCCCTCAGACCATGTGCCATTAGATCACTGCCCATCCTGACAAGGGCAGGTGGGCACAACTAGACGCCAAACCTGTAGGTGACCTGATGTTTCTGTTTTGTTACTTGTTCACACCGAAAGGAAGGTGGCTAGCAAAATCTGCAAACATAAATCTAACATAGAGCCTGTCCCAAACTTAATATCTTAAAGAAAGGCAACATTATGGAATAGCTCCTCCTTTGGGCAAAGTTCCCGTCTCCCAGACCGTATGCTAGCCGTCCTGCTTGGTTGGAGAGCCTCGTCTCTTGAAGGCCTGGCATAAGGAAGCAATAAGTTTGATGCTCTTGCACCCTCTTGCCCCAGGAAAGAATTCCTCTAACATCTTGCTTATGTGGTGACGTTTAGCTCGCCGCCTGCAGCTCAGCCCATGGGAGAGCAGCGTTGTTAACAGACTGCTGACGCCCACACACTCGTTCCTGGCCCGAAGTAAAAGCACAGCTGCCTTGTCTGGAGATACAGGTAAAACTGTCAAGGTGGAACTTTCTTGGTGAGGTAAAGTCCAACATCTGAGCTACCGCTATTCATCTAATCACATCCCGGGCTTTCCCCAGTGTGTTTGCTTCTCTCTCCTTGGGTGCAGTGGCTTTGGAAATGTCTGTTGGTGTTGGTTTCACGCTCCTGGTATTGTTTTCCTTTCACATCTTATCTGGACACCAGATGCCAGGCAGACAAAGGACGCCCCTCCTTGTGATCAGATGGCTTCAGATGCTTCTGGGTTGTTGGTAACATCACCCGAAACACCGACCCCTTCCCCGCCTTTCTTTCTGCCCCTGCATCTGAGCAGATGATCAGAGGTAGACATGATTTAATATTTAATACTAATAGATTGACTTGAGAATACAAGCAAAACCCAGGACAATTTCAGCAAGAGTTTCTTGCTTAAGAGTGGCTGTGGGCTAGCTCCTTCTGCCTGTGCCAGTCTTTCATATGTAATCTAGGAATTAGTACCCTCTCAAATTTCTAGGAGTTGTGGAGAAGGCTAATTACAGTCTTCTTCTTTGTTACATACTTTGAAAATATGGAGAATGTGCCAAGGACTGGTTATTGTAATTAGTTACAACTCCTCTACATTTTTGAAATGCAAAGCATGCCTGAATGAGCCAATTAGTTTAATGAGAAGTTAGCGTAGAGCCTATATCTATCTGGAAAGAAAGATACACATTCAGCTTTTGGCAACATCTCCATTCACGGTGAGTTGATTCTGTTTTTCCCAAATATCTTTGGGTGCAATTGGTATATCTCTGTAACCAGCCTAGCAGCCCTTGTCTTTGGCACTTAGGAAATTACATCATAAAGTTCCCTTTAAAAATGCTTTGCTTCTGCACGTCTATTCATGTTCATTCACCCTCTTTGCAAATAATTCTTGGTGGTTTTATGATTTTTTTTTCATCTATGGTGCCCAATGAGCTATTAACAACCCTATTTCTCACAGTACCCCCAGGAGGCAGTTGAAAAAGCAAGTATAGACATTCCTACCATTTCCACCTTGGAAACCAAGGGCAGTGACAATAAGTGACTTATAGAAGAGCCACTTAGAATTCTAATCGGTGGATTGGGTCTTAACGTGCCCTCCATCCTGGGTGCCTGGGGTGCTGATCTGTGTAGAGTTATGCATTCAATTAGGTGGACCCCACAGTGTTCTGTGTTTTCTGTGAAGGAACTCTCCTGTCAGCTGTCACATCGCATCTGAGATTTTTCCAGAGGAGAAAGTACCGCTTATTTCAAGATAGTTTATTTTCTGCCTGGGAATGTCCTACTTTTAGAAAAGTCATGAAAGTTCTTCTGCATGTCTAGCTAATTGAAGAAACTGTAAAACTGCTTTCAGTCCTGTATTGTAGGATCCAAATAGTCTAGGGCACTCATGCTTTGGAATCTCCACACTGTACATTGTTTCATATTAATGACTGCCTCGCAGCTGAAAAAGTGTCTGCTGTTGTCATTGTCGCCACTAACTTGTGTCAATTCTTTCGCTCCTCCTATAGTCCTTTGCAGCATCCTGTCCTTGTGCCCCACCCATTCTGCTTGCCCATCTTCCCATCTTCCCTCTTCGTTGTTCTACTTAATCAGGGTGCTTTCTACCTGCTCACTGGCTGTTCTTTATTTTGCAACTCTTCCATTCTCCTTTTAACAAATGGACATATTCTTGTAATTTATTTTAGTGTAAAGCAATCCATAGACCTTTTATTGAGTTCCCATTCTTATCAATACATTCCTTAGATTATTGTTACCTAATTATTGCATTGACATGGCTTATATTTAACAAACCAAAACTGTTGTTTTCATTTTTTTCCACTTGAAATTATATATGTAAACATCCTTTACATTCATCTTGTCAAAAACGCTGTGTTCACCACTTTTATTTTTCCATCTACTCTCTGCAATCAGTCTTTTTTGTCTTTCCATTTGACTGTTGTCTCTTAAGTTCATCTTATATCCAGTTGCCATTAGCAAAAGGATGACCTACATCCAGAGCCAGAGTTGCAGTAGCAGATCCAAACAGCCATCCTTACTCCTAGGGTGTTTGGTGATTACAGACTCCCAGGACAAGTAATAAGTGCACTTGAAATTTACCTCTCATTTGTGGCCACTGCTTTGCGTTGACCTCTCCATGCCCATTTTTAAAATACATTTAAAATACATGTGATTATTAGAGCTTAAGATTAAATGAGTTGATACACATAAAATGTTTAGAGTAGTACCCGCCACATAGTAAGTCATCAATAAATGTTATTAATATTATTACAAGATTTGTATTCTCTATGCTACACTCCAGCCACTTGTATTGCATTATCTTTTCCCTGTACCTTTTCATACAGTTCATTTAGAAGATCTTGAAGAAGTTAAATTAATGCCCACTTGTTACCAAGAGTAGTAGGAAATAGAGATAGTATAAAAGACTTTCTACTGGACACTCCATAGAAGAATTTTCATGTTTAAGAAAACTACTTCGGGATATCAAGAGCACTCTGGAAAAATAAAAATAACTGTGTATTATTGCTCTTATTCTTTCTTCAGAAGGGCAAGATAATCCAAATACATAATTTAAAGGTTTCAGGTTTTTCAGTAGTTGCTGTTCAGAACAACAACCAATTCCATGAGACGTAATGTCCTTAGAAAGAATTTACAGGGTTTGTTACAGGCTGACAGTGTTCCTTGAACAATTAAGTCTGAGGAGTTTTGTACAAACTCCACTAGATAGATTTAAGGATATTGTCTTTCTTTGCTTAATACTACATCAGCGCTGTAATAAAGAATGAACCAGAGCCATGATGAGATTGGCTTACACCCATGATCATCTCAGGAAGTGCTCCATAGATACCCCCAAAATTATTTTCCACTGGAGGGAAGTGAAATCCTATTTCTGTTGTTTTCTTCTTCCTGTCAGACCCTGGCCTCAGAGCAGGACTATGGTTTAGGGTTTCTTGATCCTGGAGCGCAAGGTAAATAGCCTCTGGCTATGCCCTGGGCAATATGTGCCTCTCCTGGACATTAATCCCACAGAAGTGCCCTGTGCCAGGATATTACTTTACTTAAATGCATTTGATTGGCTTGGTAGAGTTTTGCATTAATAAACTCTTTACTGTCTGAGAAATGCAAATGCTTTGTTGTGGCACTTGAAAAAAGTTATTTTCAAATAGTTTCCTCTGTGATCACAGGAAGCCAAATGAGACTAGGTTCTCCTTTCTCACAATGAAAGGAATCTTCCTTCCCCATTAAAGTCTAAGGCAAAGACATAGGTCAACTCCCAAGTAAGATACACATATTCTTTTAAGGAGGACTGAAGGGGAATGCAAAGTGTTTTAGTTTATCCTGAAGAAATAGAGTTCTGTTTTCAGAGGATTGGAAAAGAGAATGCAATTTCCAGTCCATTCCCTGCCTTGACCATTGAGTGATGATTCAAGATACTGCAAATTGTTTAATAAGAGAGCACGTGAATAAATAAGCAATCTGATCAACTTTCTGTTTGTAGAACAAATCAGAATAACATTTTTTAACTCTATAATTCCAGAATTCCTAATTTGTCCTGCCAACTTTTGAGTTTTTAATTTATTAATAAATACTATTATGCTTAGCTGAAATAATGGTCTTTTTGTAAGTTTGCTACAATGGCTATAGGCAGGTAAAGTCATTTTATAACATCATCCTAGCACATCGTATTCTCCTCAGGAGTCATGCTTCATTGTCTTATTTTTTTGCTGGAGAACAAGATTTCTGGGTGAGATCTGAAAGTGAACCTTGGAACCTTAGTACCCATACTTTTGATACATATGTAGTGTTATAGGAACTTCCTTAAACCCATTTTTTGCTTTAAATCACTTGATAAATCACTTGATTAATGACAGTGTTCCTGTGAAACTGAATAGTCAGAAACGGTGATTTTTTTCAAAAATATCCCAACCTGAGTAAAACAGTAAAAGCTATTCCATGATTCAACTTTGTTTTTGGCAGTTCTAACATATGTGTGTTCTCATCACCATTTTAAATGATTACATCCTATATCCTCATATGTTCTTCTGCTTGTTATAGACCATCAAATGCCTTCGCTTTTGGGAAAACCCAGAAGCCATGCATCTGATTTGGCTTTAAATAGACAAAACATTTACAGAATTTATTTCTGGAAATTATTAGTTATCCTTGTAACAAGTTGTAACACCTAGTAAAACTTGATTGTTTAACATTATAAAAATTCTGTTGCTTTTTTCCACTGGCTGTTGAACTTTACTCCTGAAATAGTTGGAGTACATCTTGTTTGCCTGCTTGCTTGCTTCCTGTATCTCCACCTTTTACTCCATCTTAAAGCTAATTAGGAAAAATCTGATTATAAACAGTCCTTATATAAAAATGATCTGTCACTAATGTGTTTTCCCAGAACCATCAGTTCATAGCAATATAAGGCCATTGCTTTCCTTAATTATTAGACTCTATCTGTATCTTTAATCTCTATTTAAATAGCCCAATAACTTACATAGCCTAGGGTTTTCACTTGGACATGGCTTCTTTTTGGACACACTGTAAACTGATAGGACTGTGAGGAGAGCTGAATATGATGGTTCTGGGCACCTTTAGGTAATAACTTCTTCTCCCTACTTTTTTCTCTATTTCTGCTTTGCTCCTTTTCCTGAACCTGCTTTTGGCTTTCCTTCAACTGCTCCTCTGGCACTCTTGTGTATAAAACAATCACCTACACCCTAGTTATCCCCATTTGTCCTCGTTCAGCATCTTGCAGCCCCATCAACATCATGCCCTACAAAGCTGCACACTCTAGAAATCTGATGGATCGACCAAAATTCTTGATAACACCACCGGAGGGCTCTGCGAGAAGGAGGACTGTTCATGGCACAGCGGTGAGTAGCCGTTGGGAGCAGCCAGGCAAGTCTGCTGTGTCTGTGCAGAGTGAACACCACCCCAAGGTGCGGTGTGGGTGTCAGAGTGGGAGGTGCCCACACCTGGACAGTAGTGTCCTCATGCTTCCTCTCCACTTGGGAGTTTGGCTCCCCCTAAAAATGTGAATCTGAGGATGAAAACTATTCTTTATTCAAGTGTGTGCATGCGGCAAGTGTCGTGACAGCACACTTTTACATTTTTGAAAGTAAGAAAGTACTTGAAGGGGAAGTGGGCCTGGACTGCTGCCTCTGCATTTTATTAAACCATATCTAAAAGCTGGCTGAACTCTAAATGTGGTTCAACAAAAAGCAAAATAAAGAGTTTTCATCTGTTTAGCTAATCCCCATCAGGACCCACATTTACAATATAGTAACAGTGTATTTTGAAAACACTAGCAATTTGCTAAGTAACTAATACTTGAAAGGCAACTGGGCTGTTTTATAGACTCAAATTTTGCAAATGAAGAATATAATTTGTACTTATAATTACTGGCAAGGTGGCTGAGCTAACATTAATTTTCACCTATAATTAATTTCCTGCCGTAAATGCAATGAGGTAACTTGTATGTCTCCAAGAATCTTTCTTCCTCAAACTGTATGTTATTTAGTAGCCATTGAAAGAAGTAGACATTGCCCTGTGATGGTCAGGCATTGTACTTACTCCTAAAGGACTCCCCAGCCAACTGGAAGATCTCATTGCCTCTCTCCCATGGTAACACTATGACCTATTTAATGAAAGGCTGAACAATTTTTTTTTCAGTCTTAACTTCCCAGAGCAGTTGAGATTTATGAAGCCGATGGACGCTTCAAAGGATTTTGCTTAGATGTTTGAGGATAATTTGAAGGTTGTGAGAGCTTGATGGCTTTGCCTACAGGCAGTTTTCTTCCAAGGCCCAGGCTTTCAGGAATCAGTGTTTAATTCCTGATTGAGTCAGACATCCAGGCCCACAAGGAATTCTTGCAGGTGAGACTTGGAGGTGAAACTACCTTTGGTATCTGGGTAGTTGCTCATCATTAGCACATCAGTGCTTCACAGTGCCTAGATATGGATGAGAACTAATAGAAGAATTTTGCCCCCAAAGGTTGGGTACTTATTGAAGAGGTAAAAGCACTGAGCAAAGGAAAAACATCTTATGGATAAAAGGTCAACCTGATGTGCCAGGAGGGAAGAATGAAAGTTGACCCTTGGCCAACAGATTAAAGGAGAGGGATTCTCATCATACCATCCAAAAGCTCCACTTTCTCACCCATTTTAATTTTTTTAATGCCTTCCCCTTTCTATATTTGATTTATTGGTTATCTTTTCAGCTCTTTACATGCAAACATTTAGGCAAATACCTATTTCCAGAAAGTGACTCATAAGTCTTTTATACCCCAGAGCTCCCTTAAGGAATTCAGTTGAACAATCAGCAACATGTGGTCATGGAGCACTTGAAAAGTGGCTAGTGGAAAGAAAAGAAAAGAAAAGTGGGTAGTGAGAATGACAAACAGAATTTTATATTTAATTTTCTTTTTAAAGATGATTATAGTAAAGGAAACATATAACAAATTCACCATCTTAATTGTTTTTAAGTGTCATTTCAGTAGAGGTACGTATATTCACGTTGTTGTGCAGCCTGTCCCCAGAACTAATTAAATCTTGCAAAACTGAACTGTGCCCAGTGGACAACTCCCCATTTCCTCCTCTCCCACCCCTGACAAGCCACCATTTTACTTTGTTTCTATGAATTTGACTGCTTTAGATACCTCATATAAATGGAGTCACACGGCATTTGTCTTTTTGTAACTGGCTTATTTCACTTTGCATAATGTCCTTCAGATCTGTCCATCCATGTTTTAGCATGTGACAGGATTTCTTTCCTTCTCAAGGCTAACAATATCCTGTTGTATGTATGTATACACATACATACAAACACACACATGTACACATACACCACATTTTGTTAAGCCATTCATCTGCTGATAGACATTTGAGTTGCTTCTGCCTCTTGACTACTATGAATAGCACTGCTATATACATGGGTAGCAAATATCTTTTCAAGATCCTGCCTTCAATTCTTTGGGATACATATATATATACATCAAGAAGTGAGATTGTTGGATTTTGTGGCAATTCTATTTCTAATAATTCAAGGAGCTGCCATACTGTTTTCCATAGCAACTGCACCATTTTATTTACATTCCCACCAGCAGTGCAGAAGGGTTCCAATTCTTCCATATCTTCACCAGCACTTGTTATTTTCTGGGGTTTTGTTTGTTTTTCTAGCAGCCATCTGAATGGTATGAGGTACTATCTCATGGTGGTTTTCATTTGCATTTCTCTAATGATCCATGACATTGAGCATTTTTATATGCTTGTTGGCCTTTTACATATCTTTTTTGAAGAAATACCTATTCAAGTCCTTTGCTCATTTTTTAATCTTATTCTTTCATTTATTTAACCTTTAATTTTTTTATTGAGTTGTAGGATATTTACACATTCTGGATATTACATACTCTGCATATTAATCTCTTATCAGATATATGATTTGTAGATATTTCTCTCATTCTGTAGTTTACCTTCTTACTCTGTTGATTGTGTACTTTGATGCACAATAGTTTTTAAGTTTGATATAATCCCATTTGTCTATTTTTGCTTTTGTTGCCTGTGCTTCAGGTGTCATATTCAAGAAATCAGTATCAAATCCAATGTCATGAAGCTTCCCCTATTTTCTTGCAGGAATTTTATAGTTTTAAACAGTGTTATATTTAGGTCTTTAATCCATCTTGAGTTAGTTTTTGTATACGGTGTAAGGTAAGGGTCCAAGTACATTCTTTGGCACGTGAATAACCAATCTTCCCAGCAACATTTGTTGAAGAGACTATCTTTTCCCCATTGAGTCATCTTGGCACCCTTATTGAGGATCTTTTGACCATGTACACAAGGATTTATTTCTGGGCCCTGTACTCCATTGGTCTACATGTCTCTCTTTGTGTCAGTACCACACAGTTTTGATTACTAAAGCTTTGTGATATCTTTTGAAATCAGGAAGTGGGAGGTCTCTTTTTTCTTTGTTTTCAAGATTATTTTATCTATTCAGGGTTCCTTGAGGTTCCATTTAAATTTAGGGTGAATTTTTATATTTCTGCAAAAAAATGACGTTAGATTTTGATAGGGGTTGCTTTGACTCTGTGGATCATTTTGGGTAGTACTGACATTTTAACAATAAGTCTTCTAATCTGTGAACACAGAATATCTTCCCATTTATTTTCCTTCATTTCTTTTAGCAATGTATTTTAGTTTTTAGTGTACAAGTCTTCTGCCTTCTTGGTTAAGTTTATTCCTAAGGGTTTAATTCTTTTTGATACTATTATAAATAGAATTGTTTTCATATTTTTTTCAATTTAATTTTTTTTTAATTTTTATTTATTTATGATAGTCACAGAGAGAGAGAGAGAGAGAGGCAGAGACACAGGCGGAGGGAGAAGCAGGCTCCATGCACCGGGAGCCCGACGTGGGATTCGATCCCGGGTCTCCAGGATCGCGCCCTGGGCCAAAGGCAGGCGCCAAACCGCTGTGCCACCCAGGGATCCCTTTTTCAATTTAATTTTAATTAATCTAGATTAATTAAATCAGATCTAAACTCAAATGACCAAATGTGGCTAGTGGCTAGCATACACAGATGTAGAACATTTCTATCATCATAGAAAGTTCTATTGGACAGCAGTACCTTGAAGTATCTGTCTCTATTATCTCTCTTGAAAGTTATTTGTATCCTAAACCTAACTCTAATTGTAAAATAAAAGTCTTTGTCCTAAGTTGTCCGTTGACATGTGCATTTTGCTGTGTGTCTTCCACAGTAGTCTTTTGGAAAATGTTAATAGGAAGGATTATTGTACAGAGTGCTGGCTGTTAGATCTGGATGAGGATGAGGAATGCCTTTACATGTGTGGTACCCAAATATGTGATTGGGTTACAAACCACTGAAAAGAGGTCTAAAAGAACTAAGAGGGTAAAACCATCTACCTGCCTGAGAGAATGTTGTCTCAAGTACTGAACATGTTTCTAAACTTCTCTTTGCCTATTTCTCTATCCCTATAAGATGATTAAAGGGAGGGCAGTTTTAGGAAAGAAAGAACTGGTTCAATGGCACTTTATTTTTTAATCCAAAAAGAAAGATTATACAGTTCTTTGTAGGTTCATTCCCACAGTGCCTGTCTTATCAAGACACAGATGATGAAATTCATCCCCGTATCCTCCACGTCACAAATTACTCTTCCTGATTTATTTTCTCATTCAGATCTCTCCTTAATTTGACTTCAGGCAAATTAAAATGTTTTTGAGAAAAAGGAATAAACAACTACTTGGAATACATAACCCCAACTTCCCCTGGAAGAGTTCTGGGCCTTCCACTCTGACATAATTGTCAGAGGCATAAATGCCACCCAATATACCTGCCAGAAGGGTCCCATGTGCTGGCTGCCACTTCTCTACCCAAGAACAATAGCTGTATTCTGAGGCCCTACCTCCAGCCTTCTGGGACCAGAAATGGGGGCAAAGGCTGGTCATGCAGCCACAAGTGATAGGGAGCTGGCACATATCTTGTAACGCTCTTTTCTGCCGCAGTCTTTGTTTCATTTAGAAATTCTGGGAAGACATTGAATTTTTTTTTTTTGTATATTTTTTAGTGGAGTTCAATTTGCCAACATATAGTATAACACCCAGTGCTCATCCTGTCAAGTGCCCCTCTCAGTGCCCTTCACCCAGTGGAAGACATTGAATATTATTTGATATTCATATTACACACACACACATACACACCCCTATAGCCCAGTCTATCAACTAGGCTGTTACTAAGAAAAGTGGAGAGAAACAATGAGGAGGGATACTGAAAGGGAACAGGAGTGGGGAAAGGAAGGAAGAGGGGAATTGATGCTTGCACTAGGCAGAAAGGAGAGAGAAAAAGGTACACTCCAGTGTATGGGCCCTGCAGCTAGATACAGCAAAGTTCTGTCCCTTCCCTTGCACTCTCAGTCTGCTCTCCTGGGAGGGTCCCACAGAGCAAAGTGCTGAAAGGTGCTCACACGGGGGCTTCCAGCCAGTATCCAGTCCTGTCCCAGAACATTGTTGGCAAGTTTCAGATACTTAGAATGAGTCTTTCTTGCTCTGTGCATTTTTGTGTTTGGGGGTTGGTTTTTTGTTTTTGTCTTTTTGTTTTGGTTGACTATAGCTTACCAGACACTTCTGGGTTTCCCTTTGCTCGTTTTGACTTAGCAAAGGTATCACCTGTCTGGCTGAATTTCTAGTATGCAGTTAGAAAAGGAAGGATGTTTTTTTTATTTTTTATTTTATTTTTTTTATTTAGGATAGTCATCACAGAGAGAGAGAGAGAGAGAGAGGGAGGGAGAGGCAGAGACATAGGCAGAGGGAGAAGCAGGCTCCATGCAGGGAGCCTGACGTGGGATTCGATCCTGGGTCTCCAGGATCGCGCCCTGGGCCAAAGGCAGGCACTAAACCACTGCGCCACCCAGGGATCCCAGGAAGGATGTTTTGACACACTCTCCCATTTCAGTTTTATCCTTAAGATTAAAAAGAGCTAAAATTCTTCACCTTGAACCTGATTTTTCCTTTAAGACCAAAAGGACGTTAGATGAGGAAGAAATTATTTATATAGTATCAGTATAAAGGTAAAAAATGAATTAATGTCTGATATAGCAGATACGTTAAGATTAAAAAAAAAAAAAGACTGAGTATGGTATGTTCCAACATAGAAAAAAAAGAAAAAATGCTAAAGAATTAAAATGGGGGAGAAATGGGGAAATGGAAGTGACTTTTATTTTGATATTTGTGTGAACTAAAGACTGAGAGATTTTTGCCCCAGGTGATTATAGATACAGAGTACAGGTGCTTTCTAAGAGTATAAATATATATTTCTTTAGCAAATATAACTCCAGATCAGACATCCAGAACTTTATTAATTAGTGTGAGATGGTGTTAATTCAGTTATAATGTTCAGGTTTAAGCTGAACATTATAAGGGCTTTTTGTGGGAGTGGAATGGATATCAGTGACAAAGGTTGGAAAATTTCCAAAAAGTCACTCAATGGGTTGTAGCTCCACTCTTGAATATACTGTTAATGGGATTGTCCCACTCAGCAAAATCTAATCATTGTGTTTCTTGGAACTTAGGGCTATAAAAGAGAGAAGGAGAGAGAAAACCTACCGATCCATCCCACATCTGCCATTCGGAGGGCTGTATCTCCATCTCATCCCAAAGCAAGATCACCAGCTCCCTCCCGACTCTGGTAAGCAAAATTTAAGAGGTTGTCTGGGTTGCTATGCTGAAGAATTTGTAGCTTCTCTTCTCTGAAAGCAAACTATTCTCTCCACGGTGTCTGGTATTGTTTAGGGAATAACATTTTTCCTTGTAGGAAAGAAAAAAGGAAATGGGAATGAGTCTCTAAAGTGAATATTTCTGTGTTTGCCACATAAAAAACAAATACACCAGCTCAGTATCTCTTCATTTCTTCTCCTTACTGGTTGCTGGTGCTCTAGGACTGTCAAGTGGTAGAGGAGTGGGGGAAGGAAGGTTCTGGCAAGCCTGCTCTGATGGCTCCTATTCTCTTTCCCCTGTTTATTGCCCCTAGGCTTCCATCCAAATCCTTTCCCCATCTGCCTGGCACACCCAGACCAACCTCCTCCTTGCCTTCTGGATCAGTCAAAGTTGCCCCTGCCCAGGTCCGGCCCCCATCCCCTGGCAACATCCGCCCTGTCAAGCGAGAAGTCAGAGTGGAACCTGAGAGGAAAGACTCTGAGAAGGAGCCCCCAAAAGTTGTCAATGAGCCATCACTTAAGAGCAGGGCACCTTTAGTGAAGGTGGAAGAAGCCACAGTTGAAGAGGGGTCACCTCCCGAGCCAGAGGCTGCTCCTGGTAAGATTCAGCTGACTTGTGATGAGGTGTGGGTTGCTTGCTCTTCTTTGGGGGACTTGGAAATTTTACTCCAAGGTTAATTTTGGGAACTTTTCCTACGTGAGATTTTCTTACAAATAAAGAATGAAACATCCAATCAAAAGCCACAGCAGGGCAGCCCGGGTGGCTCAGCGGTTTGGCACCGCCTTCAGGTCCAGGGCGTGATCCTGGAGACCTGGGATCGAGTCCCACATCGGGCTCCCTGCACGGAGCCTGCTTCTCCCTCTGCCTGTCTCTCTCTCTCTCTCTCTCTCTCTCTCTCTCTCTCATTCTGTCTCATGAATAAATAAATAAAATCTTTAAAAAAATTAAAATTAAAAAAAGGTTTAAAAAAAAGCCACAGCATATTCATTCAGGTATGATTTATGATTCCTTTTATTGGCCGAGTCCTTTTTTTCACAAAATGTGGTGTTCAGAGCACTTGCATCAGAATTACTTTGTATTAGTTATCTATTGCTGTGTAACAGATCTTAAAATTTTGCAGCTATAACAAATTATGACATCGCAGATTCTTGGGGCAGGAGTTTGGAAGCAGTTTATCTGGGTTGTTGGAATATGGTGCACACACATGGCTGAGCTCCATTTCATGGCACATGAACCTCTCCATAGAGTTGCTTGATGTCCTCACAGTCTGTCTGCTGGACTTGGCTTGCTGGCTTTCCCTCAGAGACTGTGATTTGAAAGAGAATATCACAAAGAATGCACACTTTTTATGCCTAGGCCCAGAAATCCTATAAACAGAAGTCACAATTTCTGTCGTATTTTATTCATTAGATGCAAGATTCACCTCACACTCAACTGAAGGGGATTGGTCTCCTCCTTTTAGAGGAAAGATCTTCAAAAAGTTTATGGAAATATTTTTAATTTACCACTTCTATAATGTTTCAAAGGACAAAGTGCTGGCCCTATATTAGTCCTACTGAATCCAAGTATGTGGTGGATCCAGGAACTCTGAAAGACACTAAGCTCATTAATCAGTTCCTCTGCAGGATTGCCAGATAAAATACAGAATGGCCAGTTTATCCTATACATACTGGAGTTTAAGGACCGCTGGCTAGCCTCTCTGGCCCTTGACAGAGGTCAGAATTCGTTTCAAAAGACCCAGTAGATCTCATCTCTGCCAGGCTAAACCAGGTGCTATTTAGAAGTTTAGAAATCCTTGGAACTAGGAATTCAGTATTTTTTGTTGAAAACTGTCTTCATTCAAAAGTTTTCTCCTTAAGACTTAATTTGAAATTGGGGGTAGGGGTAACAAAGAATAGATAACTCAAGACAAGTGAAAGCATTGTTAGAAAGTAGAAGAGTCCAGTCCTTATTTGCATGGAAAGGGAGAGAAGGGAGAGGCCAAAAAGTGTCCTGGAGGCAAAGAAAAATGCCCAATCATGAGGATTAAAGAAAAATGTTAATCATGAAAGGAGGGTCTAGAATACCAGAGATCACACCTCACAGTGGAGCATCTCTGTGGAACTCCTAGAATGGCTCTCTAGGCCATTTCCTGAATGTGGATAAGGTCAAAGACTTGTGCTCCCATCTTACACTTGGCATCAGGATGGACAGTGGAGGCCCAAATGGGTAAGGAATGAATACAAGAGCCAGCTCCTAAAGAGGCCCTTGGGTCCTCCCACCTCAGACCTGGAGACAGCTCTAGGCAGTCAAAAAAAGACTCCATCTTCATAGGGTATCATCTTCCCAGCCCGCATCTGGGCTTGTGGCAGGGATGCAGAGGATGGTCAATGAAAGGCTTTGGTCTGCTAGTAATAAATAGTCACCAAAGAGTAGAACTTCTCACAGAACCTAACGTGAGGCTCTATACTGAGTACACATTCGATATATGTTGTTAACTGATTAACTTGTATGAAAATAAGACTTGGTGACAGTGTCAGCTTTGTTGGATGTCTCACTTACACACATGCCTTTTTGTTCTCTGTTGCTTGGTTACAAATAGAATACAGTGAAACCGTGAGAACACACAGTAATAAACATTCCCTTTTCTCTTATAATGATGAATTCTAGGCCTGGGGTGTGGGGAATTGGGGAATGCTAGTTTTTTTTTGTTCTTTGGGTTTTGTTTCCAGTTGATTTTCTCCTTGTACCTGTTTGTACAGCTGCTCCGGCCCCGGCCCCCACTCCAGCGCCGGTCCCAGCCCCAGCGTCAGTCCCAGCCTCGCCATCCACTGTGACTGCCAGCGCTTCCCCCAAGACCTCCGCAGGCACCACCGACCCAGAAGAGGCCACGAGGCTGCTAGCTGAGAAGAGGCGGCTGGCCCGCGAGCAGAGGGAGAAGGAGGAAAGGGAGAAGAGAGAGCAGGAAGAACTGGAAAGGTAACGCAGTGACTGCTCAGTGAGCAGTGACATCCTAGGGATCCCTTAGATCACGTGTTCAGTTTGACAGACAAAGTGGTAGTAGTGATGAAGGTGAAGGGATTAGCTGCTTCAGAATCAGGCCTCTGACCACTAAGTGGTTTTTTTTTAAACATCATATTTTCTTACTAAAATGACAGTACAACAACCTTGATAGAGAAATGTTTAAAGAAAAAAAAATCCATAATCTTACCAGTTTTCAATAATTGGCAAAGTGGGTTCTAGGTAATCCTTTCCAGTCTCCAGTGCGAGGGTTTGTTTACATACGTAAATATGTATACATGCATCTATTTATATAATTATAACCACAGTAGAGGTGTAATTGTACAGTCTGATTTTTTTTTACTGAACATATTCCTAATCTCCATATTTCCTCATTATCTTTCTAATAATCATTTTAAAGCTGCATAATAAAAGCTCCTGTTTTCTTCCAGATAGAACTCTTCAGAGGAACTTGCTGGGTGAGATAGTTAAGCACCCCAGATTGCCTGCTAGCAGGATGATAGGGACAGCTGGCTTCGTTGGCCTCCTCCTGAGGCTAATAAAACCAATGTCAAGGACATTGTTCTTCAAACAAGCAGAACTGCACTTTGAGGGAGGATTGCATCCCCACTCCCACCCCCCTCCCCCTGGACTGCTAACCGATCTTGGACACAGCTACCCTTGATCCCAGCAGGGAGCTTACATGGTCCATCTTCCTCCTGTCCTGTGACAAAACTGTGACCTTTATTAATTTACAAAGATTACCTGGGGGGGAAGGGGGTTCAGATTCATTACTAAAATGCCCCATTATGGAATTAAACAAGTCTCAGCCTTTACAGATAGTTCGTTGCACACCCTTTCACAGAACGAGCTCTCCTCAGAATATTAGTGGTTGCATTTTCCTTCCATTTACCACGAGGCAATGCAAGGCTTGGAAAACCAGGAGGAAGAACAGAGGATGGCTTCACATTTGGCCCTTGAACCACGCTGAGGGTGTCCCGTGGAGATTTTCCTGCCAGCCCTCAGAGCACACTGCCCGGGGCCCCAACCACAACTCTAGCCAATCCTCAGGGAGCACGTTTATATCTCAGCCACGTTTGTATTTTTTTCCAGACAAAAGAGAGAGGAGCTGGCGCAGAAGGTGGCGGAGGAGCGGGCGCGGCGCGAGGAGGAGTCCCGCCGGCTCGAGGCCGAGCAGGCCAGGGAGAGGGAAGAGCAGCTGCGGCGGCAGGCGGAGGAGCGGGAGCGGCGCGAGCGGGAGGACCAGGAGCGCGCCCAGAAGCAGGTGGGGGCCCCGGGCCGCGGAGGGGAAGAAGTGCCCGCGCGCGCCCCGTGCGTCCAGGCGGATGCGGGGTGCCGCAGCCCTGCTGGCCGGAGGCACAGGCCCACTTCTTATTTCCAGAAGGAAGAAGAAGCCCGCCTTCGTGAGGAAGCGGAGAAGGCTCGGCAGGAGCGGGAGAAGCACTTCCAGAGAGAAGAGCAGGAGCGCCTGGAAAGAAAAAAGGTGACGCGAGCCTCAAACAGAAGCCCGGGATGCTGTTCCCATTCTTCCCCAGCCCTGACGCCCCAGGACCAGGGACCAGGAGAGGAGCTCACTGCTCTCAGAAGGCCAATGAATGCATGCTGCCCATTCCAGATAGATCCACCAGACTAGCTCTCAGGATGCGTCATCTCCTCCAAAGAACTCAGTTTTCATAGTACGGCCCTCACCAAAAACCGTTTCTTCCACTTGGTGAGGCTTAAGTCAGTTCAGCTTGACGTGAATAATGCCTGCTAAGATGAAGCAGTGGTTGTTACACTTACCCAAAGTAACAGACGTGTTTGAGTGACCCATTTACTTAGTGGAATGTGCCAGGCTAGCCTTCTTTCCGTATCTGACTCCTTTGCTCAATTCTCCCTTTCTTGTAGCGACTTGAGGAGATTATGAAAAGAACCAGGCGAACAGAAGCTACAGATAAGGTACTGAGGTGGACATTTTAAAACAGTTCTTAGTAATTTATTTTTCCTTTACTTTCTCTTGTAACTTCAAGATTTAAAATTTTTTTTCTTTCTTTTTTTGTAGAAAACCGTGGATCAGAGAAATGGAGATATAACCAAGGGAGCTCTCACTGGAGGAACAGGTATTTACTTCAGTGAATTCAAATATATTCAAATATAGAATTTTTGGATTCACTCTCTGGAGATCAAGATATTCATTGATTGAGAAGAAAAAGTACTCATTGACTTATAGAAGCTTAGGTGTGTGTCATCTAGTCCATAGATTTTCCCCTTATGTAAAACTCTCCCATTTCTGGCAGATATTTTTTCACATTTGTTTGTACTCTAATAGTGTACTTAATATTTTAAGTCATCTTACATTACAAATATCCACATATATAGGTATATGTTTGTATATATCTGTATGTATATATAGAGATATCTGTACACATGACTAGAAGAATTTTCTTTGTGTTATAAAATTAAATTTCATTTATCATTTACTGTCTGCTAAAGTAGCATGAATTCATATTTGCTCTTAAGGGCTCTACACTTACACATTCTGACAAATTGTATTTATGACAGTTCTCACAAGAAAATTTATACCTTTTTCCCTTCTGACTTCAGAATAGAGTTTGTTGAAATTAGAAATTAGTTGAAATTTCACTAGAAACTTGTTGATGCCTATAGGCTCTGGACAGAGATAATTAATTTCTTGGTGATTTTATTTTATTTTTTTATTTCTTGTTCGCCTTAGTGTATTAGTAGCCAGATTCAATTAATATTTATTAAATGGTCTCTTTGTGTCAGGTACCTCCTGCATACCTTTTCTTCTTTAATTTCCACTGCAGCCCTGTGAGGTAGAAGTGCTTTATTTTGGAGTCAGCAAGCATTTTCAGAGACCTGTCATGTGCCAGGCCTTGTTACAGGTGCCAGGATTCAGTTTGAACAGGCCAGGCCAGGTCCCTTCCCCCCAGGAGCACTTGGATGGAGTGGCAGGCCCAGCTCATTCAGCTGGAGTCCAAGCTTATGATTCTTCTTCTGTGATCCCACATGGTCTTCATGATTGTACAGACAGGTGGTTGGTAGATACCTCATCATGCGGTCTTCCTCTTTCCTCATCTGCAATATCAATATGACAAGGCACCAGAGATCCTTCACCTTCCTTTGCTGTTTTTTTCTCTTTTAAGACTGGAATAAAGATCAAATGAAATGATTTATGTGAAAAAAATTTGTCTGTAAACTCTAGAGGTTGCCAAATGTAATATATTGGTATTTTGGGATGTGGTTTTATTTCAACAGAGGCTGTCCTAGTTTCTCTATGTCATGATTTCTTCCTAGTGGCCTTTTTGTGCTTTTTTAAAGATGCCCTAATTATATTTTTTTGGAGAATAACCCTAATGATTGCCTCTTAAGCCCATTGTATTTTTACTGGTTGTCTCCCTGAATGTTATAATACATGGAGACTTTATGTAGGCATAGCCCCCAGTGGGTCATCAGATGGAGCATTTTAGTATTTTTTTATCAGTTAAGATAGTTCATGGTGATTTGCTCTGAATCCTTCAGAAAATATTCACCATCAGCCTGATCAAGTCAGCTTACTGCTATCTTCATCAATCACTTTGGTTTCAACATTATAAACTTTTTGTTCAAAGTCAATTTAGTGCAAGTAAAAATAACAACACCGATTTCTACCGTTACATTGTGCTAGGCACTGTTCTAATAAGTATGTTGCATATGTTAATACATTTAATTCTCACCATAGTGTAGAGGGTAGGCATTCTTATTCATGAGGAAACTAAGGCACAGAAAGCTTGTGTCCTGCCCAAGGTCACACAGCTGGTAGGTAGCAGAGCCAGGACATAAATCCAGGCACTCTGGCTCTTGGGTTCGGGTTTGTTAATAGCGTAACCCTTTGTCCCATCTTCTTTAACTGTGTCCAGTGGTATCTGCACTCCCATGTGTGACAAACTCTCCAGGAAATGGAGAACCAGTGGCCAGCCCACACGTGGTTACCTCACACCAATCAGCAGTGACTGTGGAGAGGTGAGTCAAATAACTGGGCCCTTTTTACTGATACACATGAAAGCAAAGCACTAATCCCACCAGAACTTCCTGGGCCTGATGGAATTTCGGCGTTTTAATGTGAAGATTTGTTTTTATTTGGGTTCATTAATTTTTGGTAGAGCTAGTAATTCTATAGTCAGAGAAAGAGAAAATATCTTTTCTTTTTCCTTGAGTCTTTAAGTATGATGGTTAGGTTTATGTGTGCCTATTAAAGAAAATTACAGGGAAGAATTTATTTGTATATATTCAACATGATCTAGACCGTATTCTCACCCTTTAATGGCATATTTTCACTGTACATAATATTCTAGTGTATCACAGTTTTGTTCTACAGTAAAATAGTTTTTTTTAAGATTTTATTTATTTATTCATGAAAGACACAGAGAGGGAAGCAGAGACATAGGCAGAGGGAGAAGGAGGCTCCCTAATGGGAGCCTGATGTAGGACTCGATTCCGGGACACCGGAATCACGCCCTGAGCCAAAGGCAGACTTTCAACCACTGAGCCACCCAAGTATCCATACAGTAAAATAATTTAGATGCTAGTACTTCTTATATTGGTAGAAGGGCTTCTTGTTGAATAAACAGTTGCTAACAACAACCAAGAAAGAAGTGTGAGTTGCGGGGATCCCTGGGTGGCTCAGCGGTTTAGCGCCTGCCTTCGGTCCTGGGCATGATCCTGGAGTCGCGGTATCAAGTCCCGCATCAGGCTCCCTACATGGAGCCTGCTTCTCCCTCTTTCTGTTCCTGTGTCTCTGCCCCTCTCTCTGTCTGTGTCTCTCATGAATAAATAAATAAAACCTTTAACAAAACAAGTGTGGGTTGAAAAAGATTACCCTTCTCTAAAAAAAAAAAAAAAAAATTACCTTTCTCTTCCTTGGTGTTTATATTGACAGCATTGTAAGACCACTCTCAAAAATAAAAACTCAGGGTTATACTTACCTGTGCCTGAAAATCCAGTTATTAAGAACTTTTAGAAGTATTTGTAATACTGTTAAAAAATTTTCAGCTATGACTTTTTTTAATTTACTTCTTTTATGAGTTTTCCTGTGTCTACTGCCAATGTTTGCTGCCATCAGTTAATTAAAGGTCCTCAGGTTCGTTTTTTTCTTAATTTAAAAATACACACTGCACGACGTTTTATAATATTGGCAGCAGTGAAAAAGTAAATCATCCTAAGATGTCCATAAGTCATAAGACATCCATTGATAACTTTCTGGGACAGTAAAACCTTTTATTTTTCCCACTATAATACCAAAGAAAAGAATTTTCCTGAGACAGAGCTTATTCATAAGCTTTCATCTATGTTAAATAAATGTATCATTACCTAAGATATATAGTAAGTGATATTTTGTGCCTTTGGTTTGATTTTCAAAGAAAATATTCATCCCCAACTGCTATAATTAATGATATTCAATTACTTGACTTCAAAAAAAAAAGGACACTTTTATGAAAGAGTAAAAAGTATCACAGAGGGAACCCCGTTATTATAGTATGGACCAGGTTTATTAAACTACTGATAATTTTATCTGATCAATAACATTAGTTTACATTGGCTGACTTTTCTCAGTGGTAAAATCAACAAGTAATTAATCATTACCTGGAACATAATTTTACTATGTAAAATGAGATGATGAAATTCTATTTCCAATCATTTATTTCACCCGTTGCTTTTCTCTCTTTAAACTGCCTTAAAACCTCAAATCTCTTTTCATACAGCGTACCGTGAGGTCACTTGGCACTGACACAATATTTATATACTCAGTTCAAACCTAATTCATTTGTCATCAGCCCTTGCCACATAAGCTGGTACAGTACAGTCTGAAATAGTAATGCAAAATGAAGCACTAAAATCATGTAAAACTCAGCTTTATGATAGCCATGTAGATGATCAGACTATTTTATTAGAGTATTTTTTTATTTTTATCAGAATGAGAAATGAATTTGTGAGAGTTCACATAGAGAATTGTACCCCATTTTGAGAAACACAATCCATTTCTGAATGTCCCTGACCTATAGGGAATGTTTAATGTGCTGTAAGTTTGTTTCCCATTGCATGATACACAGAATTTGTGATACGTAGCCTAAGAAACTCTGCTTCCCTCAGTTATTTCCAAATTTATCTTCCTTGTATTTATCCACACCAAATCTTGAAGCAGTTTGTATCTTCACGTAGCATCATCTTTTTAGTAACAAAAAGAAGTGTTTATTTTTCTTACAGCTACCTATTTGCAGTCTCAAAGTTAGGACCCCTGGTCAGAAACTAGGTTTTAGGGAATAAGTCCTTTCTCACAATTTTCATACCATTTGTAATTTTATGAATTTAGTTTCTATTTTCTTCTGGCTTTCATCTTACAAACTGAGTGTTCCTCCTATGCCTAGTCTATCAGTCAGGGTCCAGCCAGGAGAGAGAAACCAGGCAAATTAATTTGAATAAGGAAGTTTAACATCAAGAAAAATTCATTGTTATTTGGGATGAGAATAACAGATTGCTAGTAAGAAGTAAAAATTTAAGAATACGGGATTAGCAGATATAAGGATCAGCTACCTCCCTGAGACATACCCAAGGAAGAGTCCCCTTCCCCGGGGTTTCCCTCCAGACCTTATTGGAGATGGTATGGCTATGACCCCACTAGATGGTGAAGTTTTTATGAAAGAAACTCGATGGTGGAATTTGCCAGGTATCTACCCTCTAGGATACTTAGGAAAGCTGTTCAGCAAGAGGTGTCTCAATAGAGTCACTTGACCACAAGCTGGCCCTAGAGAGGTGCCGGGGGAGCCCCTCCTGCTGCAGGGGCTGGATGCTGAGGCAGCCTCATGCCGGCACAAGCCAGATACTCAGAGCACCACGAGGGTGTGTGCAGGAGCTCGCCGAGCAAGCACAGCCAAACCAGGAAGCAAAATTTTCCTTGTGCCATGTCTCTCCAGCAGCCTTAAATGACAACACTCAAAGATTGTGCCAGCTGGCAAAGGAAAATGATTTCAAGGGCCTAGGTCCAGTTTCAGAACTGAATGACCTGTGTGGCGCCCGAGGTTTCTAGTGTTCTCAGCCTTCAGTGTGCGATGCTTTTAAAAGCCTGAAAGCGATTCTGCTTGCCCAACAGGCTCCCCACTGACAGTAGGTAGATTGAAGAGGATTGGAGTTACCAAATTATCTGGTCAGCGTTTAAAGGTACAGAGAAATAAATGAGCCTGGGCAGGATGCTTCTTACTCTGGAAACCATTTTGGGTTCTTGAGAACTAGTATCTGTAGAGGGAGGAGCCCGTAGAATGGAGGAGAATGTTTATTTGTGGAGAAGAAACTTGCTTTGAAACAAGAAACAGAGGATACAGATGAATGTGTGAGTACAAGTATGTATGGAGTATGGAGGAAGGAAGACATTATTTTAAGTTTCTCAGGTCATTCTGATATATTCTTCTACCCCCGGCAGAGAATCTGCTCTAGAAGCTAAAAACTTCTCACAGGCTGCTGTCTTACCCTGCTAATGCCCAGAAGACATTTCATGCCTGTTCATAGCCCCAGGCTAAGATCCTTCACTCTTGAGGGATTTGCAGTAATTCTGGTTTTTTATCTAGTGGTTTTCCTTCAAGTCTTTCCTTTAGTTTGCCCTAAAGGAAAAATAAGATTCCCAGGCCCCTGTCATTCAAACAGAAAGAGATGTATCACTTTTAATTTTAAAGTTACTTGCAAAAAAATTAAAAATTAAAAAATAACAACAAAGGTACTTCTTATGACATAATAATAAGCATCAAGAAAGAATAAGGTCCTGGATACAGTAAGCCATATATGGACTGTCAGATTCCCACCATGGTCCCAGCTACCTTCCCCAGGTAGATTTTTTTTTTTTTTAAGTAATCTCTGCACACAACATGGGGCTTGAACTCATGACTCTGAGTTCAAGAGTCGCATAATCCTCTCACTGAGCCAGCCAGGTGCCCCCTTACATATATTTTAGCAAGCGAAGTGCACAGTCTTCAAGACACTTGCATCCAGTTTCAGCTGCCAGAGTATAGTCAAAGAAAAAGAATTCAAAAGCTGGTGTTCTTACCCTAAGAGGACACATAGATCAGATGCATATTCCCTGACCCCAGTGACTTCAGTTTCAGTTTTATTGTTTCTTCTGGTGACAGTATCTTCTGAACATTTAATAATTGGCCATCCAAAGCATACAGCACAATTATTCCTCTAATTGCTAACAAGTAATGGGTGGAGACATCAGGTAGGAGTGGGAGGGGAAAATGAAGTCAACTATTGACTCAAGTCTGGGTTGGCATAGTATTAAAACTTGTTAGCACATGCAAGCCTGGAAGGTGAAGGCAAGTTGAGATGGCCAAGGAACAGGTCTTGAAGATGCATTCGTCTTCTTTATCTTTTGTCAGAACTTCTGAAGATCACTTCGGGATGGGAACCAGACTGTTTCTCTGGTTACAGAAAGCCCATTGGTTTTGGGAAAAAAACAGGAGGATGGGTATGGTGGCTGATGCAAGCACTTAGAACAGTGGATATCAGGCACATGTGCACGCTTGTGCCCCCCTGCATCACTACTGTGATGCCAAGCCTCCTTGGTGAAGCAGCAAAACACTATTATACTCTGTGTCTGTGTACTGTTTTTCTGTTATTCTTCACAGACTTTTACAAATATACTTTCAGTGTATTCTGCAATACTTTGTGAGGCATGTAGGACAGGTATTTTTTTTTCTAGAAGAAAAGTTTAATTAAAAATATACCAAAATATCTAAATCAAAAATGCTTGAGAATGTGTTCCACAGAATCATTATTTCTTGCCTATAGGTAAACTTATTTCCTCAACAGGGTAAAAAGAGCAGATTTCTCAAAATAAAAAGCAATGGAAAAATTGGATGTATATTAGCTTTATGGTACCATCTGGGAAGGAGACAGAAAAAGAGTTTATTTGCTAAACTTCAAGCATTTGGCATTATACCACAGACTTGATTTTCTGATCTCTAGCCTCTTACCGTAGACCTTTCTATAGTTAAACATTCAATTGATGATCAGTATGTATTAGAAGTTAAAACCTTCACAATTTTTGCTTCATATATTTAGCCTTTTCCATTTAAAAATTTTAACTAGAATTTTGTCAAATAGGGTCTTTTTTGATACATGAGCTGAGCACTGAACAAAATATGAAGCTTGCAAATATGTTTACTACTGTACTCAGATAAAGTGAATAATCTAGTATTTATTTGCATGGGCATTTTTTCTGCTGCATTATAAAGCATAATAATGAACATATAATGGGTTTTCAATTTGGTTATGGACCCTCTAAAGAGAGGAAGAAACCTAAGAGAAACTGTGGGTAGAAAATGAAGGATTTGATGGCCAATTAAATGTACCTCAAAAATAAATCCAAGATATTAAGCATGAATTAATGAGAAGGTGGGGTCAGAGGCAGATTTAAGGGGCAAAGATAAGGGTGGTCTTAAAAAATATACCTATAAAATTATGCACATGTTTTAGGAAGCCAGAGGTACCCAGGAAGGGCTAGCATTTGGATAGCCAGGTACTATACAAAATGTCATAATGAGCAGAACACAGGACCAGAGATCAGGAGATCATGCATTCAGTTTGGACTGTGTCTCAGTAGTTCTGGGACTCTACCAATTATCCCCCACACCCCTGAATTTCAGCCCCCTCATCTTTGAAATAAAGGACCTGATAAGAGCTACTGTTTTCTCAAACAAAGGCATGTGAAAATGCAGTAAAAGTTGTTAAACATGTGTTGAAAATCATCTATTCTAATGGATACATTGTTTCATTTGATAAATGTTTATAACAAAAAGAACAGATTTTTTTAAAAATAAGAATGTAAAATTGCAAATATGCCAAAATTCACCATGTTTGTGAATGATATAATCAATCAGTCTTAACATTTGATTCTAAAATTATTTGTTGTAAAAAAAAATAAAAAATAAAATTATTTGTTGTAAAATCGTTTTTGATTGTTTCAAAAATGTATTTTCTAGTTTTAATGCTAATTCCTTTCAATTTTGATTTTTCCAACCCTAGTACTCCCAACTTGGAAAAACAACCAAGTGAAAATGGAGTATCTGTGCAGAATGAAAATTTTGAGGAAATTATAAACTTACCCATTGGATCCAAACCATCTAGATTAGATGTCACCAACAGTGAAAGCCCAGAAATTCCTTTGAATCCAATTCTGGCCTTTGATGATGAAGGGACAATTGGACCCCTGCCTCAGGTAGATGGTGTTCAAACACAACAGACAGCAGGTAAGCTTGCCTCAAGCTCCCTTCAGTAACCATCACCAATATGTGACACTGCATGAGAGGATGAAACTTCTGTGGTTGACTATGGCAGCTTTGTTCTTCTAGGGACCACATGAAATAGATTGTATAAGGATTGTAGAAATTGAATTTTGAGTTGGATTGAGCAAATTCTAGGGCCTCTCCTGTTCCCACAAGTAGGTGTGCAAATCTAGTCTGTATCACCCACTTGGGGTGTCCATCCCCTTTCCTCACAGAGCAGTCCTCACTGCCAACACACTCACTGTCAGAACATGCTTCATAGGAAGACAAGTACTTCATGCCTCACCATAACGTAGGGACCATTGGGCCTCATTCCGCCTCCTGGCTTTTGTTCTGTCTTTCCCAGCTCTTCAGATATATGAAGACTGCCATCCTGTTCTCCCATTTTTCTCTTGTTCAGGTTTAGCAGCTTGGATGATGTACTCTTGTCCTTTTTAAACGTAATAAGATAGTTTGAATTTAGCTAGCGGGCCCCATATTCAGAACTAGGAGCATGTGAGCCCAGTGGTCTTCTGTCCTTTGTTGAGTGACTGTAGCTGTTGTTGAAACAACCAGCGATTCTCTCATATCGTCTCTGGGACTCACACTTGACTTGAAGTCTTTGTGCAAAAAGAACAATAGCTTTATGTGATCCAAAGAAATAAGGAGCAACATCAAAAGTTATCAACTCAAGGGTCACAGCAGCTCATCAGTCTCAAAAAATAGCTGGAATAATCTCAGCTCTGTCTCTATTCCAACCTCTTTGAATTCTGTCAAGGTAGGTCATTTTCATGTATCAACCAGTATCTCTTTATACTATTTTGAACAGAGCTGGCCAAATTCAGCATGTTTAAATGGAGCCAGTGCAGAATTATTTGTGGTCAAGTTGTTTTGTCTTTCAGATTTCCATCTGTGAACTTTGTTTAACTCATATTTTCCACTTTAACCAGCTAGAAAAGCCAATGTTGAAGCACCTAGCCAAATAAAGCTAGCCTTTTTTCCTTCTCTAATATACTGACCTTGGGAGTATAACTTGACTTTACGATTCACTTTTCTAGATTGTAAAAGGAAGCTATAGGCCCGTCCCAGGTCTGACGTTCTCTTTCTTAAGACTCTGGTAATACTGTGATGACTTGCATGTTCCTGGAAGTGCTCCTGGTGCAGCTTTCTATCTTGTCATGCCTCAGACTCACAGAGAGGCAAGGAGCATCCAGATGACTTTCTGCTTCGCATGCCAGGCCTTAACTCACCGTCTGATTTATCTGCCATTGCATTCTCCCTGCCCCTTCCCTCCTGTAACTTCTGTAGGGACATAGTCAAGTGTCTATGATCTTAAGTGGTGTAGGGGTACCTTTGGGGTCATGACTACACATTTATTTGGCCATATCTTTGGAGTCTGACACATCAGGTGCTGAGGATGTAAGACCAATGAACGTAAGTCGCTAACATCAGAGGAAAGTACAATTGGTGTGTGTCGTTGAGAAAAGTAAATGATACAGCCTAAGTTGAAGTAAAGGATGTGTTTTCCTGCTAGTGGTAGAATTCATTAAAATATAAGATTCTGATAAAATCACCTATTCTTATATAAGACATTGTATAGAAAAAGCATGGTAAAGATTTAGAAATGTAAGATATTACCACAGTATTCTTGAAATAAGATCTTAGATAAATATTAATCTGTTCTTTCTTCTGTCTCCTAATATAGAAGTTATATGAGCATTTCTTCTGAAGAACCAAAGCAGAAATTTAACAAGAATTTCTACAATTAATGGAATTTCTTCCATGCTATAAAGGAGCATCCCCTTCCTCCAGTTTTCTAAAGATTTCTTGACCATCATTTTGAAAAGACTTTATTAAAACCAGCTAAAGACAACAGACTGGATAGCTTTTCTAATAATTTTCGCCAATAGAAAAAAAGTTCCTTATTCTTCAGTACTTTAAAATGGCTTTTGCCAGTGTGCTCCTTCTTAGCAAATCAATATTTTTCTGCATTCTCTAAAAGATGAGAGCATTTGGCTATTAAAAAAAAATGGGCTGACTAGGCATGATTTTTCACATAAATATTTTGGTCTTTAAAAGCTAACATAAAATTGGCACAAAAAATTTACCTTTTACAATATAATACTTGAAAAATAAGTACCTCTTTGTTCTACCAGTAGAGTGAATAGGAGAGGAGTTTAAATTAAGCCTGTTTGTTTAAATATTACTGCAGAGAGTTCTATTTGTAGAAGCAAACTATAGGCAGATTACCAGGTTCTTGTAAATGCAATTTGTACATGGACATTCTGCAAACCCAGCTGTCACATTCTTGCATCTCTTTTTGCAAAAGTATACTAAACAGTTTTAAAATATGAAAAAAAAACATTATTTTTTCAGAGCAAGAAAATATACTGTCCTCTTAAATAATGTATTTATAAAGTTTTTCCAGATAAGCTAATCAAATAAATTAGAACAACGTAACAACATTGCAAACTTTGATTTATTAGATGGCATTCCTTATGTTACCATGAGAGAATGTTTGTGATGATTCAGGGCTATATCTGATGTCTGTATATTGCTGCTGTCCCCAGGGATGATGGGACTTACCTTTGCCTTACCTGATCACAAATTATTGGGGAGGGGGTGTTTAAAGATTTAATATTTCTTTAAATAAAAAAAGAATTTGGTTTTGCTCGTTTAAGAGCAATGAAAACATGATGGAATGTTGATTGTGTTTGGCATACGGAGCACTGTGCAGGATACCTTCATAAATGTCCTCATCTCTGCGTGGCACCCATCAGCTTTGGCTCTTCACTCTTCACTTTTGCTGCTGATCTTAGCTATGCAAACCTGCACTTTCATTTGCTCAATATAATTCGATTTTATTTTACCATTTTAGAAACTACTAATAACTAAATATTGAAGGAGAAGGGATTCTGAAGGAACACATTTATTTTTTTTGCAGAGTGTTTGAAAAGGTAAACGTCTAGCAGTATAATATGTTGGCTTTATTAAAAGAGGGATTGGTTAATCTATACTGAATGAGAAACTCATTTATTAAAATCCAAGCTATAGTAACAGCTGTAATTTGTGAAAACACTAATTTGGGGATTTTCCCTATTCTCAGTTGTCCATGTACACAGCCATATTAAAAAAATCTGTTCAACAAAGTTGTTTTATTTGTTTAAGTCGACCTAGCATGAAACACCAAATAAAATGCATTTGACATAGTTTTACTTTTAGGTTTTTCATATGTTACGACTTTACTCTGATTGAGCCTTGAGTTTTCAAATTGACCTTTATTCAATCTCAGTGACATTTCTCCAGCTTCCTCTGAACAGGAATATAGAATACGTTTATTCAAAATATAGAACAGGGACCCCTGGGTGGTTCAGTTGGTTGGGAATCTGCCTTTGGCTTAGGTCATGATCCCAGGAGACCCATGTGGCACTCCCCGCTCAGCAGGAGAGTCTGCTGCTTCCTCTGCCCTCTCCCTTGCTCGTGCTCTTTCTGTCAAACAAATAAATACAATTAAAAAATAATAATAAGGATCCCTGGGTGGCGCAGCGGTTTGGCGCCTGCCTTTGGCCCAGGGCGCGATCCTGGAGACCCGGGATCGAATCCCACGTCGGGCTTCCGGTGCATGGAGCCTGCTTCTCCCTCTACCTGTGTCTCTGCCTCTCTCTATATATGTCTCTCATGCATAAATAAATAAAATATTTAAAAATAATAATAATAATAAAATGTGGAATAATAGTTCAATTTTGGCTAGGTTTTCCTGGTTTCCTTTATATTTTTAAATTTGAGCAATGATTAACAAGCCGAAAGCCTTCTACATTATCAAGTTTTAATTTAAAATGATATAAAATTAACTTTTATTAAATATTTTATTTTATTTGAGAGAGAGCAAGAGAGAACATGAGCAGAGGGAGGAGGAGGGGGAGGATGAAGCAGACTCTCCGCTGAGCAAGGAGCAGGACATGGGGCTCCATCCCAGGACCCTGGGATCATGACTTGAGCCGAAGACAAACACTTAACTGACAGAGCCACCCAGGCGCCCCGAAAATTAACTATTTTTAAAACAACATTACCAGAGAATGACCTGGACCTTTACAATGAATGATTACTTTCTTTCCAGTCCTTAAAGGCCAATATTCACCTGCTGATCATAAAAAGATCTTTAGTAGGTACTACATCAGGGTGAGTCCTCAGGGATCAGATATGACCCTCAGCATGGAATGAGAGTGGGTGGGCTTCTAGTTTCTTTTTCACACCATCATAGACTGTCTAGGCCAATGCCGTCACCAATCATAAGTTCCTTTGGTAGAGAGTGGCCCACTTTTATTGGAAGGGGTTAAGCCATATGTCTCCTTTTGCATAAGCTCATTTCCTGGTGGCATATTACAATAAAAGCAAATCTACAACAGACTTCTCTCACATAAACAAATACTTATTATCAAGCAGGGCCTTCGGATTGGAACGCTTGGGTAAGTTCCTTCTCTGCTCATAATTCCACAAACACCTTGACTAAAAAGATTCACAGTAAAGCAGAAGCAGTGATATTCTGAAGGCAGGATTAACTACCCTGATTGAAACAGGCAATGCAGGATGCCAGGGTGGCTCAGTGGTTGAGCGCCTGCCTTTGGCTCAGGGCGTGATACTGGAGTTCCGGGATCGAGTCCCGCATCAGGCTCCTTCAGAAAGCCTGCCTGCTTCTCCCTCTGCCTCTCTATGTCTCTCATGAATAAATAAATAAACCTTTTAAAAAAAAAGAAAGAAAGAAACAGTCAATGCAGTCTTAAGTGTGTGGGGTTGGGGGAAAGATGGCACAGGAGCAAACCGCTCTAGATCCAAAGTAGTCCTCAAAAGTCTTAAACTTGCAGGGTCTGTCAGATTGTTATACCTCATTTTATATATTTTGCGTCTAAAAATCTTTCTAGGAAACTCAAGTTCCATTCACTAATGAAAAATTACTAGCCTCCCTTATGCTGATTAACACTGGCATAAAAAAAAAAAAACAAAAAACACTGGCATAGATTTAGATAGTACCCAGCCACCAGATTGGAGTCCTTCAAATGCTATCTGACCTAGCCTCAGCGTAAGACTAAAGTTATGCATATGTACATCACAAAGTTGATACAAAGCATTTTGGAGTAAATTAGTGAATATTAAAATATAACCGGCACCAATAAATTCTCCCATCTTTTGCATTTTGTAAAGATTTTATTTATTTGAGAAATAGCCAGGGGGAGGGGCAGAGAAACAAACAGACTCTACTAAGCACAGAGCCAGACTCAGGGCTCGATCCTAGGACCCTGAGATCATTTGACCTGAGCCTAAGTCAGCCACTTAACTCACTAAGCCACCAAGGTGCCTCTTGCATTTTCTTAACAGAAATAATTTGACTATTGGCCTACATCCGATTGTGTAGAACACAATGAAAAGGCATGATGAAACAGCTATCTGATCAGGTCACAAAAAGCAATTAAAAAAATTTTTATAGATGCCCTTCGAGGAAATGTCATGCCCCCACCCAACTCCTGTTTTTACTCACTAGACACCTAACCCCACTCAGAAGTACTCAAGGTCATCATTTTGCTACATCTTTTGGTACCTCAGTAGTTTGGAGAAGAAACTCCAAAGACTTTGCAGGAAGAGAGAGAAAAGAACCAGTATGGGAACAGAAGGTGCAGTTTTAAATTGTTACAAATAGAACATTTTGTTAGTGACTATTTCCTTGGTGACTATTACTTGGGTTTTTATGTTGTTTGATTACAATTTTAGAAGTTAAACGCGCTTTTTAGTAATTAGTGCCAAGATTGGTAACATTCAAAAGAGAAAAACATTTTGATTGTTGTTTAAAAATATATACTAAGAAAGTAGTAGTACTGACAACTTTTGAATTATTGAGTCTCTAACACCTTTCAGAAGACTAAAAGGGAAGAGGGTTAGGAGATGGGACCTAACGTTAGAAGTGACAGAGGAATGGGGAAGAGCCAGCACTCGGTGTTACAATGAGGTCTGAATACCAGGTCTGCACTGATGGGCTGCGTGAGGCTTGGTAAGTTACCCCTGTGCCTCAGGTCTGGATTTCTTCATCCGTATCTGAGAAAATAATGCCCATCTCATTGGGTTGTCTTAGGAGTTACCGAGGTTGGATTGAGAGTAAATAGAAGTTTCTGACACACAGTAATTGTCCAATAGATGAGAAGTATTTTTTTTGTCTTTAGTCTGAGATCCTCATGGTAGGCAGGACACTGCCCCGGAAGGTGGGAAACTTCACTGTTTTCCCAACAGTGGCCTTGAGTGCATTTTTTTTCCTAATAAGTTGCCTAATCTAAGTATTATGCCAAGCAAGCTAAACAGAATTCAGGGATGCCTGGGTGGCTCAGTGGTTGAGCGTCTGCCTTTGGCTCAGGGCATGATCCCGGGGTCCTGGGACCAAGACCCACATCAGGCTCCCTGTGAGGACCCTGCGTCTCCCTCTGCCAGTGTCTCTGCTTCTCTCTCTCTCTCTTTCTGTGCATCTCTCATGAATAAATAAAATCTTTTTTAAAAAATCTTTTTTTAAAAAAACCATGAGAATTCATTTATCTACAACAGTAGGACAAATTTAGAGTTGCTAATCATTTTTGAGATGTTACCAATTACTACTTAATTTCATAATCTTCCCTCCTTTCTCCACCCCTCCTAAAATGATTTCTGTCCAACAAGAATTATATAGTTACTTTATATTCTTATATATATGAAGGTGGTCCTTGACATCCTCTGTACACAATTAAACTGATCTTGTTGGCTAAAAAGCCAAGGATGATTAAATACTCCTCCAGAAGTTGCTGTGAACATTGGACAAACCTTAGGAGGTGCTTGCAGGAACTGGAGCAGCAGAAAGTTTGGGGAGCTGTGCAGGGAGCTCAAGAGCTAAGCAAATGATGTATATAGACTGTAACTAATGACTCCTTTTCCTCCCCAAGTGGAGCTCCCTGACCAAAGATGTCATAAAAGAGGTGGATTAGGTAAGGATTTGGAGGCCCTTGTCAGACTTGAAGGTCAGGAAGGGCATCCCTTGCTGTGTTCCATTGCTCATTCTGGAATCATACTTCCCCCTTGGGGTAGTTGACAGGAATATGCCTCTCCACTCTAAGATGCACCTGCCCTGTGCTGTTACTGATTTGCCAATGGACAGGCTCTCAGGCTGGAATGTCAGTGTCCCAGGCTTTTGGCTGTTTGGATTTAATTTGGAGGGGGGAGAGGGTTGGAAAAGGTAAGTGGGGTACCAACATCAGTGGTGGACATCAATTTTGCCAAGGTAAGGACAGTAAAAAACAAAATCACTCTCAAGGCCACTCTCAGTGGCCCATGCTGCAGGCCACACATCTTCATTGACACATCTGAGCAACCTCGGAAAAGGCACGTGCCTTTTCCTCGCTATAATAAGCTGTTACCATGGTAGCTGGCTTGATAACACTCCATTCCTTGGTTGCCTTTCCTTCCTTGTCTCATGCCTCCATTCCCTTCAAGGAGTTCCCTTTACCAACCAGATAAACCATTTATGCTCCAACCATGCAAGAGGGTCTGCTTCCAGGGAAACCAAAACTAAGGTTATCCTAAGGTCTATGAGCACGATTTTATAAAATAACATTTTCTCTCGTAGGAAGTAAAAACACAGCTTATTCATAAATAAATGAACAAACGTGACTTGGAAAACCTGCTCTGGTTTTGTCACACCAGTCAGTGGAAAATATTTTCAGCACAATTCAGTTCCATCATATATAAACGAACAGTAAATGGTGCTTTCATTTCTGGATCATCCGTGATCACCCAAGCATTTCCATCGCTGTCCTGTTGATGTTCAGGCCTGTGGTTCCCAGCTGTTGGGTTCTATTTCCTCACCTTTGCACTTAGGTCCCGGACTCTTTAGTGAGGTCTCTACGTGTTCTGAACATCTTGCTCTTCTTCAGAGTCATCGAAACCTCCACATTCTAACTCCACAGCACAGTCTGTGCTATGACTATGGAGGTGTTGGAGTACTGAATTTGTAGCATTTTCTAAAAGAATCTTTTAAAAAATCTAATAGACAACCTTTCTAACAACGTGTTAAACCCAATAATATCAAGTACTTGTAAGAAACTGCTACCACTACTTAGGCAAATTGCTAGTCAGGGAGGGATATTTTTTTCAGACACTTTTATAGGAACCAGTTGGAAGTAGGAAGGAAATATGAATAGATAA